TGCTGTGGCTGCACGCAAACCAACGTACGAGCCCCACCCCGGCTGATCAGGAATTGCCTTTAGGTGCTTGTCCAGTGCCAGCTTTGAAGACTGCCAGGGGTCTGTTGGTAATCCCCCTTATGTGTGCTGGGAGGCAGTTGAACAGTCCGGTCCCCTGAACTTATTGTATGGTCTCTTAACGTGCTAGGACACCCCTGCTTTTCATTGGGGGGATGGTTGCATCGTCTCCCAATCTTTTGCTTTCGTAGTGAGTGATTTTCGTGTGCAAGTTCGGTACTAGTCCCTTAGGATTTTCCAGGTGTATATAATCATGTATCTCTCCCTCCTTTGCGTTCCAGGGATACAGGTTTAGAAACCTCAAGCGCTCCCAGTAAATTGAGGTGTTTTATCTCCGTTATGCGCGCCGTGAAAGTTCTCTGTACATTTTCTAGGTCGGCAATTTCAACCTGCCTTGAAAGGTGCTGTTAGAGTGCAGCAATATTCCAGCCTAGATAGAAAAAAAGTGACCTGAAGAGTGTCATCATGGGCTTGGCCTCCCTAGTTTTGAAGGTTCTCATTATCCATCCTGTCATTTTTCTAGCAGATGCGATTGTTTACAATGTTATGGCCCTTGAAGGTGAGATCCTCCGACATAATCACTCCAGGTCTTTGACGTTGGTGTTTTCGCTCTATTTTGTGGCCAAAAATTTGTTTTGTACTCTGATGAAGATTTAATTTCCTCATGTTTACCATATTGAGTAATTAAAATTTCTCATCGTTGAATTCATATTGTTTTCTGCAGCCCACTGAAAGATTTGGTTGATGTCCGCCTGGAGCCTTGCAGTGTTGCAATGGAAGACACTGTCATGCAGATTCGGGTGTCATCTGCAAAGGAAGACACGGTGCTGTGGCTGACATCCTTGTCTATGTCGGATATGAGGATGAGGAACAAGATGGGAGCTAGTACTGTGCCTTGTGGAACAGAGCTTTTCACCGTAGCTGCCTCGGACTTTACTCTGTTGACGACTACTCTCTGTGTTCTGTTAGTGAGGAAATTATAGATCCATCGACCAACTTTTCCTGTTATTCCTTTAGCGCGCATTTTGTGCGCTATTACGCCATGGCGACTATTTGTGTAATAAATATTTAATGACCCTCCTATCTCTTTACCCTTCCTGCTCCTTTCTGTTATTCCACTAAACCTATTACTGTCATTGTCAATTAGTGCCACTGGCTTTCCAATATCCTCCTCATTTTGCCTATTACTAGTTCTCCTAGTACTCATGTTACTACCCTGCGACTTCACAGTTTTCCCGCCAAAACCCATACCACTAACTATTCCTAGTTTAAAGAACCTAACAGCTCCCTCCACTGCATTGGCCAGTGCCCCCACCCCACACCTAGACAAGTGAACCCATCCCTGGCATACATGTCATTTCGGGCCATAGAAGGAGGTCCCAGTTGTAAATGAAAAATGTTACTGCATTTTCCTTACAGAAATTTGTCCAGCCAGCAATTGACACCAATTGCTCGGGAAAAAAAACCAAATTCATTTCCCAAAACTCCTCTCCTTGGCAAAATGCCACATATGACAGGTTTCCCACCCTTCTTCCTAAATTTTTCTCTATTGCTGACCTATACCTGCAAATTCAGGTCCTCACTCCACGTCTGCCAACATCGTTCCCTTTCCAGCACTGAGACAGTTTAATAGGATTGCTCCCATTACCTTTCATGATGTCATCCAGACGGCTAACAAATCCTTCATCCCAGCCCCAGGAAAAACACACTCTCTGCCTCCTACTCCTATCCTTCAAACAGAATGCCCCATCCATGTACCTAATTTGGCTATCCCCAACAACAACAATGTTTTTACCTTCCCTTGGCGTCGTCCGTAGTAATGCTCCGAGTAGTCGATTCACATTCGCCAGGTAGCATTACACCACTTGTTTGAATTCGTCATGACGTTCTCGATGGTCTTCGTTGGGGTTTTCTAGGGATGTCCCCACTCACGTCTGCCAATGCTTCCTTGGTGCTCGTTGTGGCAAATTTCCCCCTAGAAACACTCACATTCGTCAGGTAGCACGAGAATGAGTTGGAAGTTTCCACGGCAGTCTTCGGTTTCTCGTTGTTTTCTGCCTCTCCAACCGTTTTCTTAATCTTCAGCTTGGTTCCATGTTGCCCGACCACTGACCAAGCTCCCCTCTTAACCTGGGGACTCACAACAGGAGGATTACTACGAATCCTCTTGTTCTCCTCCGTTAATCGCCGTATCTCCAGTTTAGCAACTCTGAGTTCTTCTCTCAGCTGCTGGTAAAGCTGCTCAAGAGAGGGCATCTTGGTTCAGATTCACAGAGAGCACACAAACAGGTCTTCACAGAGCTAAGTACACGTCACCACTGACTAAGTACACGTCACCACTGACTAAGTACACGTCACCACTGACTAAGTACACGTCACCACTGACTAAGTACACGTCACCACTGATCGCTGTTTCGAATACAATTAAACAAAACAACGGCAGCTTCACCATCTCCGAAGTCTTAGCAAGAATCCTCCTGAAAACAGTAAACCCTGCCATCACATAGTCTCTCCTGTTATACTACACAAAGCACAGAGAGTGAACACTGAAACAAGCTGCCTCATTCCAGTTTATATTTGTCCAACCTATTTATATGTTACCCAAGTAATAGCTTTTATATCCTTTTACTCATGTACGAATTAATTGCTCTACCATATTGTATTACTTTTGTCACTACCACTACTACTACTACCACTAGTGAACATCGAAATGGTACCTCACTAGTATTCACCTCACTCTGAGCCTTTATATACCCTCTGTGTCCATGTATTGTTTGTAATGGCTTGATAAAGCTCCTGGAGAGCGAAACGTTGCCACAATAAATGTCACATTAGTTGCACTTGTGTCCAAAGTTCTTAACATGAGGAAGGAGCTTGGTATTTCTAGAATCAGTGATAGGATTGTTGAAATTAACACTGTACTCGGTATTAGAATGTTGAGAAACGAACCAGACACTGTCACAGTGAATCTTACCAAGTGTCTGGAGGTAAATACACACAGATCTAAATGGATTGTGAAAACAAACGTGCAATTGCATTAAGTTTTATAACCTGCATGAACTGTATCACTGTAGGCAACAAGAGCATTTCACCCCTCCATGGAAGATGTGTTCATTTAATATCACATACCTACAAGTCCCTCCCAAGAAGCTCATTGCTAGTAATCCCTTCCTTAAATCTCTTGTTAGAGCAACTGCCAAGAAGAAAAAATTTTTCGCCTAGCTGGTAAGTAATAAGTTATCACAAGTTATATACACTGATGGATCTAAACAGGAGTCTTCTGGCAGGGCTGCATCTGCTCTTGTTGCCACCTCCCTAGTTAAGAACGATAATAAATTTGTTGAGTTAGGCATAAGAATTAACAACTGGGCGTCTACACTGCAAACTGAATTGTTTGCAATCCTAATGGCGCTAAAGCTAACCTATGACACTGAGCTTGACTCTATCATCATTACTGATTCTATGTCATCATTGAAGGCTCTTGGCTCATATAATGACTCCAACAACATGCTCATTGGGGAAGCCAGGTATAGATACTCAAAAATTAGGGACAAAGGAATTAATGTACAATTGCTATGGATCCCATCACACATTGGATTACTCCTTCATGATAAAGTTGATATGTTAGCCAAGAAGAGTATCCAGAAGGAGAACGTAGAATATAACTTTGGTATAACTGTGTCTAGCATTAGGAATAATATTAGGAGAGAAGTAAATAATGAAGATGATTGTTATAGGAATGCAGTTAGAAGCCTGAGTAGATCTATAACCCACTATGATAACATGAACGTAGATAAGTATGTTTATGGAGCAACTTGCAATGTGAACAGACTGACTGATGTTGTAGTGGCCAGGCTTAGGCTTGGTTACAAGTACTTCTGGCAGTTTGGGAGACACACAGATGATGATCAAACTAAATGTAAATTATGTGATCAGGCATATGGTCACTCTCTTGAACACTATGTGCTTAATTGTCCACTTATTGAGGAATACAGAGACAGACAGTATAATAACCTATGTGACATGTCAAGATATCTTATTAATGAAAATAAGATACCAGATATACTAAGCAAATTTCCTAAATTTGCTTGTAACAGATAAGTGAACTATAGATATGTAGATATAAATCCATATGTATTCCTGTTAACCCTTTGGGGCCTAGTTCCTAGGCCTTTTGTGTATCCATATGCTCTCGCGCTACCGTCCACAGGATGGATATGGGGTGCACAATAAACTAGCCACTTCGGTGGCAAAATCTAAAATCTGTGTCCTTTTACTTTACATATTGTCGGTAATTCTACCAACTTCATTACAACTAACTAACCGCTCTCCTCGGGCTTAGGCAAGAGGGTCCATCTGAACTAATTGAGAACATTTTGTTTCTGTTTCTGTTTAAAACGGGAACTCCTGTTTTCTGTTCCAAGGACCCCAGTAAAAATAAATCACTTTTTCTGACTTTTTTTTTGTGCTACCTTAGGTAATCTACACATGTGCTGCCATGTCATGTATAATAATTTATTTAACTTTGTTTATGTGTACCAGTACCTGAACAAACTTAACCTTTACTTTCAATATTTGTTCCCCGGACACCGGGAAGCAGTGCTCAGTACGGCGAAAACTTTCATTGACCCTATAAACCCCAAATAATAATAATAATAATAATACTAGTAAGTGAAGAACAAGCTTTTGTTCAAAAACACCCGTGAGGGACATTATAGCACTGATATGTAAGTAAGTAAATTTATTTAGGCGCCGGCACACTTAAGTACAAGTATCGTACATAGGATAAATTACCTTGGATAACCCAAAAAAGTCAAATTGAATTATTTGCGTTATCCATCCAGAGAAGAGTCTCCGCCAGTGATTTTAATAATAATAATATCATCATCATCAGTCATCATCATCATCTGCTAAACCCTAGGGATTATACAGCTCTTGTGGGGGACGATGGAAGGCATTAGGCTTCATTCAGGAACCCCTCAAGGAAGGTTCCTTGATGTTGGTGAGGGGCTCTTGATTTAGGGAATTGGATCTGTGCTCCAGTTCCCCGAATTAAGTCTGAATGCCTTCCACCCCCCCCCCCAGGCGCTGTATAATCCTCCGGGTTTAGCGCTTCCCCCTTGATTTTAATAATAATAATTCATTCAGGAAACTGGAGCACGGATCCAATTCTCTATATCAAGAGCCCCTCACCAGCATCAAGGAACCTCCCTTGAGAAGAATATGACTTAATGAAGCTCTGTTACTTCTGGAGGTGTTTTTGATGCTGGTGAGGGGTTCTTGATCCAAACTATTGGAGCTATCCTCCTCTTCCTGGATCATATCTCATTATCTCCTGTTACACAGTTGCTATGTGATCCCTGTTAGTATAGAGCTTTCCATGAATGCATCACTGCTGTATGACCCTAGTAGGTTTAGCACTTCTTTTTTATTATAATAATAATAATTTCCATGAATGTGCCAGTGTGATGCTTAGGCTCAGTGCTGTATGACCCTTGTGGGTTTAGTGCTTAGTTTTGATTATAATAATAATAATAATGCTTAGGCTTCAGTCATTATAAATGTTCAATAAAATTATCAGTTTCATGTTCAACTAACAATTTTCAAAACTAAAAACAAAAGAAAGGAGCACTGCAGTAGGCCTACTGGCCCATGCTGTAGTTTGTATTGTAATTTGTGATACTTGGCACTAAAAAAAAAAATCAAACCCAGCAATAAGTGAGTAGTTTGGCAAAAGCTTTACAGGTTCATCACTTTTATTTTAATAATAATATTAATAATAATAATAATATTTTTAATGGGCAACAATTGAGATTGAATCTTTTCTAGGTATTCATATTTATTAAGGTTGGTGTAACTTAATAGACAATAATTACCCATGATAAATCATGTGGACCTGTCATGGGTGAGACATGGGAGTGTATATAAAATATTTAGCACGATTCTTCATGCTTTTTTTGAGAGATATGGCATTAAATGCCAAAGTGATGGAGACAGACTCATATGCAGCAAAATGCAATTGTTTATTAATGATGTTTTGCCCATTTTGCCCATTCATTGCGTGGGGCAAAATGTTATGGTGTATTTGTCTCTGTTAGTAAGTTTATTTAGGTACACGTCCACATAAGTTGCAGTATTATATTTGCTTAAAAACTACTCTGTTCTGTGACTTCATTAATAGTAACATATATCTAAATTACCTAGGATAACCCCCCAAAAAATGTCAGACAAAGTGACTTACTTTCTATCCTTTTTTTTTTTTGTCTTATCAATATGTAACTTTCCATTCATTAAGTTTATTTAGGTGCAGGTCCACATAAGTACAATTATCATACAAAGTAACATATTTCCTTTATTTCTTTAGGTATCATACCTGGATATTCTGACATCTGTTAAACAGGAGAGAAAATATAAATAGAGAAAATGCAAAACTAAATGAATGAGGTAAACTGTCTATTTAAATTATAAAAGTTGCCAAACAAGCAGACAACCAATTAAAAAGATGGAGAAGTTCAGTAAAATGGTAAAGCACTTGGTACAACGAAGGATCTTTACTGCACGGCCACACTGTAGACTTCTATTCAGCAAGACAGGAGTGTGGCCCCAGTGTGTAAGTATTGATGTGGAAATGAGAATGTATGTAAATAACACAATGTGGGCTATGGCATTTCATGTGAAGATGTTTCATCCACTAAGGACCTGGTGAATGAAACGTTTTCACAGTAAAACGCCATACTGGTAACTGCCATTGTGTCTTATTTATTTACTATCAGCATGCTCTGTCATTACATTACTGTCAGTGTGAGAGGTTGTAACACTAACAAGCCAATAAAAAACTACAGTAGTATTGAGAGTTCATGGTAAACCTAGGTGTATAGTGTATATAATTTATGTGATAATTTTGCTAGAGTAGTGTATTGGCAATAACTCTCACATGATACCTGCTTATGCTAAGCGAAAGTAAGCTCTTGTCTTATGGTTACTTCCAGTCCAGACTGAAGGTAGATACATTACCTGCATAGCCTAGGTGAGGGTAGATTCTTTGAAAACCTAGGGAAGGGTAATTCCTTGAAAACCTAGGTGAGGGTAGGTTCTCTGAAAACCTAGGTGCTTTCTTTGAAAACCTAAGTGTGGGTAGATTCTCTGAAAATCTAGGTGCTTTCTTTGAAAATCTAAGTAAGGGTAGATTCTTTGAAAACCTAGGTGAGGATAGATTCTTTGAAAACCTAGGTGCTTTCTTTGAATACCTAGGTAAGGATAAACTCTTTGAAAACCTAGGTGAGGGTAGATTTCTATCTGACTTAGGAATGCAAATTCCTATCTAGCTTAGGTGACAGTAGATTGATACCTAACCTAGGTGAGGGCATATTTTTGCCTAAAACAGGGAAACATAATGTTGAATAATATCATTGAGAGTACTATGGATTCCAGGCACTTATATAAGGTTAGATTTCTATGTACATTTATGTGATAAATAAAATGATGTTACAAAAATAGGTAACTCAGGATTAGTGATTTTCTGGTAGAATGCAGTAGAATATTTATATTAAGATTTCTCCAGAAATGTGATTAGTTGTAGTACTGTACTTTCGAGAAAGAGATAAAACTAATTGAACATTGCAAATTAATGCAGTATTTATGTAAAATTACATTTTTACTTAAAAAAGTATAAATAGAAACTAAAAGTCATTAATTTTTTGAGAAACCTTTGGTTCCATGTCTTATCATGTCCATTATATTTGCTGTGCTCCTATTAAGTTTGATCTATTGAAAAAAATTATGTAAAGGATCACTATTCTTCAATAGGCTTTAGGATTTTTTGGCCTTCCTATTTTTCACTTTTTTCTTTCGGTTAGAAAAATCAGCATAAGTAATCTAGCCTAAAAAAACGGAAACAAGTTATGAAAGATTAGGCTTACAACTCAGTAGTTTATATATTATTCATTGACAAATGTTTCATCATAAGACAGTCTGAATGAATTGCTCTTTAAATGAACATTCTGAGCCATAAAAATCAGCTTCATTACTTGGTGCTATTGTAGCACTAGACCCCTCCTTTAGTTGGCTTACATTTTAAGAGTAAACCACAGCTATGGTCAGGCAGAATACATCATTGTTTTCATAATGACTAAGGCATCTCTGTGTAACTGATGATATACACAGATGGATTGTATATATATTACCATCTAAATAGACTTAATTTATTTCAATGATTTTAATTTTCAGGAGGAGGAATTGCCAACTGAGATCAAAAAGGAGGCAGAAGCTTATTGGAAAGAAAAAATTTATTCACAAGGGTCAGTTAAATGTGGGTGAGTATTTTAAGACCAAGAAACTGTGAAAATTAAAAAGTATTGTTGACAGCAAAGTTCACAGTATGAGCAGCATTTCTAGAGAAGTTTTTGAACCAAGAATGATTTCAGAGAGACACTAATTAAAAATATTTAAGGCAATGTCCTAAAATGGATGCTTTTGTAAAATTTGAATTTGAAGAGGTGTTGTGTATAGTTTTGAATACTTTATGGTTCTAAGAACCATTATTTGTTGTGATGATTATAGGTTTAAAATACATAGTTGACTGTTGTAAATTCCAATGTGCAAGTACCTTATGTGAGATAAGAGTAGGTAGGATTATAGTGTAATATAGCATTATTGTTGATAGAGTAGAAGAAATATTGTTTATAGTTACATTTCTGTCAGTTCATTAATGCCATGTTTTATTCTCTCCAGATAGGTTTATGTCACTGCCTTATCTACAGCATTCATATTCTCAGTGTCATCTGATCCTTCGTATTTTGATTTCTATAAATGCTTTCCAATGCATGGTCATCATGTCTTCCATTATTGCCTCTAGTTCCTTCAGCTTTTCCTTAGATTTATGTATACTGTTTTTTTTTTTTTTTTAACAAGTCGGCCGTCTCCCACTGAAGCAGGGTGACCCAGAAAGAAAGAAAATCCCCAAAAAGAAAATACTTTCATCATAATTCAACACTTTCACCTCACTCACACATAATCACTGTTTTTGCAGAGGTGCTCAGAATACAAAAATCTAGAAGCACATATGTATAAAGATACACAACATATCCCTCCAAACTGCCAATATCCCAAACTCCTCCTTTAAAGTGCAGGCATTGTGTGTCCCATTTCCGGTTTCCCTGAATCCCTTCACTCATACTCCAACAGCTCGTCAGGTCCCAAATACCATTCGTCTCCATTCACTCCTATCTAACATGCTCGTGCACGCTTGCTGGAAGTCCAAGCCCCTCACCCACAAAACCTCCTTTACCCCCTCCCTCCAACCTTTTTGAGGATGACCCCTCCCCCGCCTTCCTTCCCCTACAGATTTATACATTCTCCATGTCACTCTACTTTGAACCATTCTCTCTAAATGACCAAACCACCTCAACAACCCCTCTTCAGCCCTATGACTAATACTTTTATTAACTCCACACCTTCTCCTAATTTCCACACTCCAAATTTCCTGCATGATATTTACACCACACATTGCCCGTAGACAGGACATCTCCACTGCCCCCTCCATACCCCTCCTCCCCAATTTGATATCCAATTTTTCTTTATCTAAATCACTTGATACCCTTCATCACCTTACTCATTTCTATGTTCACTTTCAACTTTCTACCTTTACACACTCTCCCAAACTCGTCCTATAACCTTTGTAATTTTTCTTTAGAATCTCCCATAAGCACAGTATCATCAGCAAAAAGTAGCTGTGTCAATTCCCATTTTGTATTTGACTCCCCATAATTGAATCCCACCCCTCTCCCGAACACCCTAGCACTTACTTCTTTTACAACCCCATCTGTAAATATATTAAACAACCATGGTGACATTACACATCCCTGTCTAAGACCTACTTTTACCGGGAAGTAGTCTCCCTCTCTTCTACACACCCTAACCTGAGCCTCACTATCCTCATATGATCTTTTTACAGCATTTAGTAACTTACTACCTGTTCCATGTACTTGCAACATCTGCCACATTGCTCCCCTATCCACTCTGTCATATGCCTTTTCTAAATCCATAAATGCAATAAAAACTTCCCTATCTTTATCTAAATACTGTTCACGTATATGCTTCAATGTAAACACTTGATCTACACATCCCCTACCCACTCTAAAATGTCCTTGCTCATCCACAATCCTACATTCTGTCTTATCTTTAATTCTTTCAATAATAACCCTACCGTACACTTTTCCTGGTATACTCAGTAAACTAATTCCTCTATAATTTTTACAGTCTCTTTTATCCCCCTTCCCTTTATATAAAGGAACTATACATGCTCTCTACCAATCCCTAGGTACCTTCCCCTCTTTCATACATTTATTAAACAAAAATACCAACCACTCTAACACTATATCCCCCCTGCTTTTAACATTTCTGTCATGATCCCGTCAGTTTAAGCTGCTTTACCCCCTTTCATTCTGTGTAATGCCTCATGCACCTCCCCCACACTCACATCCTGCTCTTCTTCACTCCTAAAAGATGGTATACCTCCCCGGCCAATGCATGAAATTGCCGCATCCTTTTCTTCGTCGACATTTAAAAGTTCCTCAAAATATTCCCGCCATCTACCCAACCTCCATCTCCCCATCTACGAACTCCCCTACTCTGTTTTTAACTGACAAATCCATACTTTCCCTAGGCTTTCTTAACTTGTTTAACTCACTCCAAATTTTTTTTTTATTTTCATTAAAATTTCTTGACAGTGCCTCTCCCACTCTATCATCTGCTCTCCTTTTGCACTCTCTCACCACTTTCTTCACCTTTCTTTTACTCTCTATATACTCTGTTTTTCTTATAACACTTCTGCTTTGTAAAAGCCTCTCATAAGCTACCTTTTTCTCTTTTATCACACCCTTTACTTCCTCATTCCACCACTCGCTCCTCTTTCCTCCTGCACCCACCCTCCTGTAACTACAAACTTCTGCCCCACATTCTAATACTGCATTCTTAAAACTATTCCAACCCTCTTCAACCCCCCCACTACTCATACTTGCACTAACCCACCTTTCTGCCAATAGTTGCTAGTATCTCACCCAAACATCCTCCTCCCTTAGTTTATACACTTTCACCTCTTTCTTACTTGTTGTTGCCATTTTCCTCTTGTCCCATCTACCTTATCCCATCTATCTTATTGTGTTTTCCTATTTAAACTGCACCTTATTTATTTTTCTAGCAACTTTAGCTTCTGCATTCTCTCATGCTCTGACTCATGGTAGCTTCTGATTGGAAACTTTGGAGGTATAGCATTTCCTTTTTTTTTTCTTTAACACGTCGGCCATTTCCCACCGAGGCAGAGTGACCCCAAAAAGAAAGAATAACCCCAAAAGAAAGAAATAACTTTCATCATCATTCAACACTTTCACCATCATTCATACATAATCACTGTCTTTGCAGAGGCACTCAGATGAGGCAGTTTAGACGTCCCTCCAAACTGCCAGTATCCCAAACCCCTCCTTTGAATTTCAGCAAAAGTCATTTAAATTTTGTCATATTTTCAGTGAAGCTTGTGGTAAGAGAGAGAAGAAGTATGTTCTTTCCATGTTTCCTTATCCGTCGGGGAAGTTGCACATGGGTCATGTCCGTGTTTATACCACTAGTGATGCAATGGCCAGATTCTACTGCCTCAGAGGACACGAGGTATATTTTTGTTTAATCACCCATACTATTATCAGATCTTAGCTAAGCAGTTGTAGTCTCAATTCAGGTAGTTTTTTATGAGGTAGTAAAGTCTGATGTTCACCAAGATAGGGTGATAAAAAAAAAAACATTCACCATCACTTATTCCCTAGTTCGCTTTCCAGAAGTGCATGGACATCACCATTCAAATATTTCACTGAACTCTAACAACTCCACTCATATTTCAATGCACAAGCACTCTACTTCCCACCTCCTAAATTTTAAGTCCAACTGTTTTCTGTGTTTTTCTTCATGGATATTACCATGCTCATACTACAGCAGCACATCACATTCCTAAAACTGCTTGTGTTCACTCTGATCAAACATACTCACACATGCCTGCTGGGTGATCAAGATCCTACCTCTCAAAACTTCCATCCAACTATACCGCAAATGACCCTTACACCTTTCATGCACCCACAGATTAATACATCCTCATGATCACCTGTCTCTCTTTATTTGTTCTACATGACCAACTCATTTTAGCATTCTTTTTCATTCCCTGAATTATATCTTTTATACCACACCATCTTCATTTCTTGGAGACTAAAATTTCACTGCCTCCAACCTTCTTGCTGCACCATTCAAAGCTCATGTTTCACACTGATACTGAAGTGTTATCACTAGTATACGTTAACATATTTCTCTTTTTGTATTAATTATCAAATTTCTTTCTACAGACACCTGAACACTCCAGCTACTTTTTATAGGCCCATTTACTGACACATTTACCCCCAAATATCTAAATATATTAATTTCCTTCTACTTCTTTTCAATCTTATGTACAGTCTTTCCTTATCTAAACTTCTTAATCTTGTCTTTCTTGCTCTTTTCTAGGTTCATTTTATACTGTCTTCTTATTTTACACCCACACTGATCTGTCAACTTCAGCAACATTTCTGAATCCTCACTGCCCTAAGAAAAGACCAACTTTGACAACTCTGATTAAATTCATCCTCTTTAGCCCACACCTCTCCCTAATACTAACATTCACTTTCATTTTACAGCATCTTCTACAAAAACATCAAACATCCATGGCAACATCACACATCTCTGTCTAGAGTCCACTTTCACTAGAAAATATTCCCCTTCTTTGCTTGATTTCCCAATCTGAGCATTATTCATTTTGTTAAAACACTTTACAGCTTTTAATAACTTACTACCTGTACCTTACATTTGAAATATCAGCTACATTGATACTCTATTTACCCTTTCATATGTCCTTATCTAAGTATTACTCACTTGTATACTTCATAGAAAACCCTTGATCCATATACATGTACCCTGTTCCTTTCCAAAATTAACCTCATTCCTCAGTAATCCTGTTGTCCTCTCATCTTTTTAGAATTTTTTTTAACAAGTCGGTCATCTCCTGCCGAGGCAGGGTGACCCAAAAAGAAAGAAAATCCCCAAAAAGAAAATACTTTCATCATCATTCAGCACTTTCACCTCACTCATACATAATCACTGTTTTTCCAGAGGTGCCCAGAACACAACAGTATAGAAGCATATACGTATAAAGATACACAACATATCCCTCCAAACTGCCAATATTCCAAACCCCTCCTTTAAAGTGCAGGTAGTAGGTAGGTAGTAGGTTGGTAGACAGCAACCACCCAGGGAGGTACTACCATCCTGCCAAGTGAGTGTAAAATGAGAGCCTGTAATTGTTTTACATGATGGTAGGATTACTGGTGTCTTTTGTCTGTCTCGTAAATATGCAAGATTACAGGTATGTCTTGCTACTTCTACTTACACTTAGGTCACACTACACATACATGTACACATTTATTTATACACACTCATCTGAGTTTTCTTTGATTTTATCTTAATAGTTCTTGTTCTTATTACTTTTCCTTGTATATCCATGGGGAAGTGGAATAAGAATCTTTCCTCCGTAAGCCATGCGTGTTGTAAAAGTCAACTAAAATGCCGGGAACAGTGGGCTAGTAACCCCTTTTCCTGTACAGATTACTAAAACAAATAAGAAGAAAATTGTCGAAGAAATAATAATAATATACTACTAATAATAGTAATTATTTTCCAATAATTTATTATCCAGTAAGATATATTTGCTACTTCTGTCCAGTAAATCCTACACATATGTAACTTTAATAAACTTTTATATTGATTATTTTTGTCAGGTTATTCATCCTATGGGTTGGGACGCTTTCGGTCTGCCAGCTGAAAATGCAGCGATTGATTGCAATGAGATGCCCGATCAATGGACCTACAAGAATATTCAGCAGATGAAAGATCAATTGCAAGAGCTGGGTTGTAAATTTGACTGGGATAGAGAGATCGCTACATGTGACCCAGAGTATTACCGCTGGACTCAGGCTATCTTCTTGCTTTTGTTCAGAGAAGGATTAGTCTATCAGGAAGAGGTTTGCTTGTGATCTTTGTATTTCAGTTATTCAGTATTCTTTACTGTTCTTTGAATATTGTAGAGAAGCAACTTCATATAATTCTTAACTTAATTACATGTACTAAACCCTTGATTTAATGGGCTTTGAAAATATTGGACAAAATCCACTTAGTCATTTGATTCAGAAGCAACAGACAATGTATTTACAAAATTTTCCTTTATTGCCATGATCACAGCACAACCATCTTATCTGTGTCCACCACAACTGCCACTACCAGCCACCCATTTTTCTCTCCCTCTTAGTCCTTTACATCAAGGGTTTACAGCACCTTATATAATATTAAGGGAACTGAGTGTGCATTTCATATATTCACATTATATATTCTTTTTGTTGTATATTAGAATAGCTCAAACTGGACCTCCTAACACTATTACATTGATAGATTCTCTAAACCAGCCATCCCTCAGTCAAAATGTCTGTTAGCATTTCCAATTATATTTCAATTCAGATATTTTAAATTGGTGGCCCGGTGGCCTGGTGGCTAAAGCTCCCGCTTCACACACGGAGGGCCCGGGTTCGATTCCCGGCGGGTGGAAACATTTCGACACGTTTCCTTACACCTGTTGTCCTGTTCACCTAGCAGCAAATAGGTACCTGGGTGTTAGTCGACTGGTGTGGGTCGCATCCTGGGGGACAAGATTAAGGACCCCAATGGAAATAAGTTAGACAGTCCTCGATGACGCACTGACTTTCTTGGGTTATCCTGGGTGGCTAACCCTCCGGGGTTAAAAATCCGAACGAAATCTTATCTTATCTTATCTTATCTTAAGAAGCAAGTGAGAGAGAGATGTGAGAACTTTTCCTGAAAATTTTTCTTGCTACTTTCTCCCACTTCTTGTATCTCACATTCATTCTCAAAATATATTTCTTAAAGTAAAGCATTAATATCTCTTATTTTTTGCAATTGTTGAATCAGTAGTACCATCACTTATTCTAATATACACCCACCTTACTTTCTTTAATTCCTATATATTCAACATTCCCTAATCCTTTCATTTTTGTTTTACTCAATTCAAGATCATTCTGATTCCTTACATACATCCACAATAAAAAACTTTATAACCCTGCTGAGTGAATGCACACTAGGCCCAATTTCAGTATTTCTTGTTTTTGAGTTGTTAATTTCAGGAAATATGGGTAGCCAGCCCTTTTCTATTGCCATTTTGGGCATTTATGTATGGCTGCTGGGGTGTAGAGGGAAGGATATGTAGGTGGGTATTTATTAAAAATTGCTTCACAAAACTATGTATCATGAGGTATACTGGGGTAGGAATCAGGGGTACAGGACCTTCCTGATTCACCATAATTAAAGGTAGGAAAGAATTTTTTTTTTTTTTTTTTTTTCAACAAGTCGGCCGTCTCCCACCGAGGCAGGGTGACCCAAAAAAGAAAGAAAATTCCCAAAAAGAAAATACTTTCATCATCATTCAACACTTTCACCACACTCGCACATTATCACTGTTTTTGCAGAGGTGCTCAGAATACAACAGTCTAGAAGCATACACATATAAAGATACACAACATATCCCTACACTTTATAAAGTGAACTAAAAGATTCTTTACAACAGGCATTGGTGAACTGGGACCCTGTGGATCAAACAGTGTTAGCAAATGAGCAAGTGGATATAAATGGATGTTCCTGGAGGTCTGGTGCTCAAGTGGAGAAACGCTTTCTTAAACAGTGGTTTATCAAGACAACAAGGTATAAATGTAATACAGTATAGCTCAAGGAATAGCTTGTTGGTAATCAATATACTTCATAGGTTGATTATATCTTTATTCTAATTTGTTGCCAGCATGCATAATTTGGGTTTAAAGATATACGTAGTGGGTGTTTCTGTAGCATCATCATTCTGTATTAATTCACGATGTACAGTAAGTAAATCACCACCTAGTACAGAGATACATAAAAAAAATCATAATAAATTATTGTAATTTTGTCAGGAATGAACAGGCCTAAACCCCACTATCAATAGCTCACTAGCCTATTGCACTGACCACTGAATCAGGGGAAATTTTTGTTCTCATGTCAGCTGTTATTAAACTATGGTATATGAAAAGTGAAATAAAATATTTAATAGTGTTGGGGCAGATTTGGGAGCAGTGTTTTATCTTTTAAGGCTTCAGTGGTCATTTGATGTGTTTGTAAACAACAAGGTGAAGGGAGAGGATAGCATTACAACTCTAACATAAATTAAAGTGTGAGGCCAGTTTTTAACATTTACAATGAAATGTGGTTACAGAGTGATTTTTGCCCTCAGTACACTCAAGATGTATGACTGTTTTGCTGCTGTAGGTTTACAGCATGTGTGGATTTCAGCTCCTCAAGTATTTTCTGTTTATAAGTCAACCATTTAATTATACCTTAAAAACTCAGTATATTCTCAAGTATATACATATACAATATCTTTACCATAAATCAAGGAAGAATAACTTGGGACAAAGGTGTATAAGTATTAAAAAAGTCAACTTATGGCTGAGAGTAAGAGTAATTGGTACAGTACAGTATCTTTATTACTAATGATTTTTTGCTCAGTTGAAATTTAAAAAATATTGAAGTCATTCACTAATTATGAAAGTTCAGATAAAATACTATTCTATTTATTACCATATTTGATGTATTAGTGAGATAAAATGTTTTTTTTTTTTTTTTTTTTTTTTTTTTTTTTTTTAGATTTTCAAAATCACTACTGGATGGCTTGTCTGATCCAGCATTGGAAAACTGGAATGATATCATCAAGATTCAGCGTCACTGGATTGGAGATTGTGTTGGGTACAGGGTAGAGATGACAGTAGAGCAGAAGTGTGTGTGTAGTGGAACAGATATATGGACACCAGTGAGCGGGAAACTGGCCTTGTGGATGCCACAACCAGAACTTATACATGGAATAAGCTTCATTGGAGTCCATTCTGGCCATAAATTTGATTCCAGCTCTTACAGAGTGCTTAAACATGACAGATATCAGCTACTGAATATTGTTGCTGTTTGCCCTATCAGTCAAAGACAGGTTCCCATTATTGTTTGTGATGACTTGCCATACAGTGAAGATGTAGAGTTCTATGTTGGGATACCTTGCATTTCTAGTATTGACCAGTCTCTTGCAAGAACATGTGGTTTTGACACTCCAAAAATTATTGAAGATGGTAAATTGGTGAATTCAGGTAACTTAAGTGACTTAACTCTGGAATCAGCAAGACAAGAAGTCACTCAGCAGCTTATGGACATTGGCGCAGGGGGATTCCAGACTAGTGTTAAACTGCGTGACTGGTTGATATCACGACAGAGGTACTGGGGGACTCCAATCCCATTCATTCACTGTCCAGAGTGTGGGTTAGTGCCTGTGCCTGAGGAGCAGCTTCCAGTTGAACTGCCAAAGATTTCAAGCTTCCCAAAAAGAGGTGCCTCACCACTCAAAGAGGCAGTTGACTGGTTGACCTGTAGCTGTCCAAGGTCAGGTGGTATTTTATTACTTTAATCTGAGTACAAAAGACATTAACATAATTAAGAATTTAATATTTTTTGTATTTTTGTGTAGTATGGTAGAACCTCGATGTTCGTCTTTAATCGTTCCAGAGAATCTGACAAAAACTGAATTCAAAAACAACTGAAGCAATATTTCCCATAAGAAATAATGTAAATCCAATTAATCCATTCCAGACACCCAAAAATATTAACAAAAAAATACGTTTTATAGAGAATAACTATAGTTTTACATACAGAAAACAATGAGAAATAAATATAAAGCACTAATGAAATGGCTAAATTAACATTTAAGTCACTTTTACCTTTATTGAAGGCTTTTGTTGGCATATGGAAGACGGCGAGGAAGAGAGAGAGAGGAGAGGTTATCTCTATCACCATCACTACCACCTTCTACCACCATCACTACCACCCTCTACCACCACCCTCTACCACCATCACTACCACCCTCTACCACCATCACAACCACTACCACCCTCTACCACAATCACTACCACCCTCTATCACCATCACAACCACTACCACCCTCTACCACCATCACAACCACTACCACCCTCTACCACCATCACAACCACTACCACCCTCTACCACCATCACTACCACAGCACCTTTCAAGGCAGGTGAAATTGCTGACCTAGAAAACGTACAGAGAACCTTCAAGGCGTGCATAACGGAGATAAAACACCTCAATTACTGGGAGCGCTTGAGGTTCCTAAACCTGTATTCCCTGGAACGCAGGCGGGAGAGATACATGATTATATACACCTGGAAAATCCTAGAGGGACTAGTATCGAACTTGCACACGAAAATCACTCACTACGAAAGCAAAAGACTTGGCAGACGATGCAACATCCCCCCAATGAAAAGCAGGGATGTCACTAGCACGTTAAGAGACCATACAATAAGTGTCAGGGGCCCAAGACTGTTCAACTGCCTCCCAGCATACATAAGGGGGATTACCAACAGTGGACAAGCACCTAAAGTCGGTTCCTGACCAGCCGGGCTGTGGCTCGTACGTTGGTTTGCGTGCAGCCAGCAGCAACAGCCTGGTTGATCAGGCTCTGATCCACCAGGAGGCCTGGTCACAGACCGGGCCGCGGGGGCGTTGACCCCCAGAACTCTCTCCAGGTAAACTCCAGGTAAACCCTCTACCACCATTGAATTCTATCGTGTTTCTCGCCTTCTTTATCGAAGGGCTGGCACTCGGAACTTTCTTTGGCCCCATGGTGGCTTATTTAGCAGTCGCACTCAATAAACAAGCATAAAAAACAATGGGTTGTTATGAAATGTTTTGTATGAATGCGCTGGGTAATGTTCACTCAACAAGAAACAAAACCAGACTGACTCAGAATACGTGTGTGGGATGCTTTGTGTGGGCGCGGGCAGACGGACACGTTCGGTATGGTGGACGAAAAACCGAGATGATGAATGAAAACTGGGACAATATTTTGACGAAAAAGGTCATCGAAAACTGAATTCGATGAAAACCAGGGCAAACAAAAACCGAGGTTCCACTGTATGTGTTTCAGTGTGTTGATAAAATCATTTGTTTATGGCCAAGGCTGCAGTAAACTTTTTGGCCCATTTAAATAGCTTAGTCCATAGAATAGTACTGTAGAGTAAAAAACTGAAAATTGAATAAGTAGTTGGTATCCTTCCCATATTTGGATATTTTTACCACATTGGCTATCTCCCACTAAGGTTGGGTGATCCATAGTCATCTTTTAAAGCTGAGGATTGCCTCAAATTCTACGTTTACACAAAAATCATTGAGGAAGATAGTCTTATAAATAATTTTTCTAATCAGCATCACCTACAATTTTCCCATTAAAAATGTCTGCTTTATCCCTCAGTTAGCATATCTGTTAGTACAAGTGTCATTGGACACCTGATAAGAGTATTAGCTAAGAACGAGGATAAGAAGGGTACTTGTTGCTTGGTTGGTAGCATTTTCAGCTCACACATTAAAGGTTTGGGATTGACCCCTGGCACATGTAAAATGTTGGGAGTGTTTCCTACACCTACTGCCTCAGTGGGAGACAGCCAATGTGTTTAAAAAAACTATATATTTATTCAAGTGTGGGATTTGTTCAAGTTTAAGATTCAATTCAAACAATGTGGTCCTCAGGCTGGTAAACAGCACCATCAGCCATTTTCACCACATTTCACTATTTAGTGCTTTATATTTTTTCCTCTTGCACCTACTCTTGTATGACCAAGTCTACACACCATGTTTATACAACAGATATATTGAGTCCTGTGAATGATCATTGTTATCCAGTTTATTTTGTCTATAACAGATGTGGAGGTAAGGCTGAGCGTGAAACGGACACAATGGATACATTTGTTGATTCTTCGTGGTATTTTCTTCGTTTCCTTGATCCTAGCAACAGTGAATCACCTTTTCGCCATGACATTCAAGATAAAATGATGCCTGTTGACCTTTATATAGGGGGAAAGGAACATGGTACATACTTATATTTTAACTTTTAATTTTATATGCCAGTAACTTTCAATAAAATTGCTATGTAGTCATTTAATATATTTTTTATGTCAAAGATTATCTTAGATACTCTTTGGTATGAACTTATTTTATTTAGTTAATCAAAAGTTGTCATTGAATTATTTGGTATTTAAAACTCTGCCACCATCCAAAGCTCATTTTATAATTATGCAGTGTTATAGCCCCTGTTTTCAGTTTTTGTAACTGCATTAATCCTTGATAATGTGATAATGTGTGAGTGTGGTGAAAGTGTTGAATGATGATGAAAGTATTTTCTTTTTGGGGATTTTCTTTCTTTTTTTGGGTCACCCTGCCTCGGTGGGAGACGGCCGACTTGTTGAAAAAAAAAAAAAAATTAATCCTTGATAGCTGATTTTTGGTACAGTATCTTAAGAAATAGCTTCAGTACACCTGTCTTAAGATCATGTAGTCAGCTGTATTTCTTTAGATCTTTGTGAAGGAAATAAATGCTATATGTGAAGTTGAATTGTGGGTGCTTTATAAAGCATGATGTTGACATGATGAGAAAGAGACTAAATAGAAGTGACGATGTGACAAGTAGATGGTGTGACCAAGAATACTCGAAAGAGGATGGCAAGTTATGGAATGAGTGTTTTTTCCATGTGGAAAGTGCTCGCATATTGTTTTTCATTTGAGATTTAGAAAAACAGTTTTTTAGAGAATTAGGAAATGGAAATAATAGGCACAATTAATATTTGTAGACATAATATCATTCATTTGAAATTCAAAGTCTATAGAAAGCCTAGCAACAAGATTGACCTGATTCATTTCCACTCTCATAACAATCTCAGAACTAAATGGGGAGTAATTATAGGCATTTTGTTACATGCTAAACAAATCTGCAGCAGTGAATTCCTATTAGACTAACAAATATACATTTTTTTTTTTTTAAAAAAACCGGCCGTATCCCACTAAGGCAGGGTGGCCCAAAAAAGAAAAACGAAAGTTTCTCTTTTTAAATTTAGTAAACAAATATACATATGTACATATATCACAAAAGCGAATGGAGCAAAACAGAATGACTTAAAGAGTGTATCGGTCTGTAGTGGAAGGAAGGAGGGGTAGGGGTCGGCTTAGGAAAGGTTGGAGGGAGGGGGTAAAGGAGGTTTTGTGTGCGAGGGGCTTGGACTTCCAGCAGGCATGCGTGAGCATGTTTGATAGGAGTGAATGGAGACAAATGGTTTTTAATACTTGACGTGCTGTTGGAGTGTGAGCAAAGTAACATTTATGAAGGGATTCAGGGAAACCGGCAGGCCGGACTTGAGTCCTGGAGATGGGAAGTACAGTGCCTTCACTCTGAAGGAGGGGTGTTAATGTTGCAATTTAAAAACTGTAGTGTAAAGCACCCTTCTGGCAAGACAGTGATGGAGTGAATGATGATGAAAGTTTTTCTTTTTCGGGCCACCCTGCCTTGGTGGGAATCGGCCAGTGTGTTAATAAAAAAAAAATCACAAAAGCTTTCTCAACCCTCATAATTTCTCTGCACATCATCACTCCTGGAAAAATAAAGCCTTGAATATTCTTTTCAAATGGACCTACAACAGTAACCATAATCCTCCTCCTCCAGACAGACAACATGAGCATTGCCATATTTGCCACCAAGCAGTAAAAGAATTTACTAATACATCGCCTCATCAAGGACACAGGCACAGCAGGAATTTACAATATACGTACTTTATGGGGGTTGTGATTGCTTTTACATAAACGAGACACCAAGGAATTTAGATGCTGTACTAGATGTAAAGAACACAAATGTGCTTGCCGAATGGATGAAACATGCAACGCATGTGTAATATACTGCAGCACACATTCCAACAATTTGAACTAGAAACAAGGCCATTGTATTTACAAAGGAAACAGCAAAATGAAATGTAGGTTTCTTGAGGCTGCCACCATCCACCACACCAACACCTAGAACAAAACAGAGAGATGTGCATTTTATCTAAACCTACTGCACAGATAATCTAAGATTAGTATATTGAACACAAAATACCAAGACGTGATCCCACAACCTCACCTCCACCTGGCACCAGTTGTCCTCACCTGTAATGACACCTGACCTTGTAGCACCTGATGTGTCCCAGCAGCACCTGACCTATTGTGACAACTCCTAACCTGTCTCTGCAGTGGCTCACATCCCCCATATGCTTTATATAGCACTTTTTTGTGTATTCTGTGTACGTCATAGATCCTCCAGTGAATGATATGTAGTATTAATAACAAGTTTCTTTGCTGAAAGTGTCTTGTTACCATCTGTCTATCAGCTTATACATGTTCATTTACATATTTGAGAACTGGAAAGTTTATAAATCAAAAGTGGTGGTGGCATAAAAGAAGGAAAATGTTGCAGACTGCAAACTAGTGTTCACATCAGCAACAAGGGAAAGACAAATAGTATTTGAACATCAGTCTGTAATATCTTTACAAATAGTTTACAGGTTTAGATTGAATAAATGGAATAACCAGCATCAAGAAAGTAATATTCCAGTGGTTGAATGTAATAAGCACAGATTTTAATCTATGACAGAGGCCAAATTATATCAATTGTTTAAGTACAACTTAAGATAATTTATTATAATTTTATTTTTCAGCTGACCTCCATTTGTACTTCGCTCGTTTCTTGCAACATTTTCTGGCCAGCAAAGGGATTGCGAGTCACTCAGAGCCTTTCAAGAGATTGATTATGATGGGTATGGTTATGGGTCAGTCATACATGGTTAAAAACACCGGACAGTACATCAGCAAAGATCAAGTTGATTTTTCAGGTAAATTACAGTGACTGTGTAATAAATGATATGGTGTGAATGGGAAAATAGATATTGTGCTTTTTAAGGTATACAGTAGTCCCCCTGTATCTGCAGGTAATATGTTCCAAGACCTACCATGAATACCTGAAACCTCAAATATACGTATTTATGTCTTTTTCCTTTACGTGCATACCTATGATAAAATTTGATTGATAAATTATGTACAATAAGTCAAGAATTAGCACTTTTTCACTGATGGGAAGCACTTCACAGCTTCTCTTAGGCTTTGAAGAAGTGCCTCCATCTCTATATTTGTGCTTTGGGACCATTATTAAGCATAATTAAGGGTTATTTTTGGGCCACAGTAAACCATGGATAACTGAAACTGAGGTAACTGAAACTGCAGCTATGGGGGTTCTACTGTACACGTAGTTATAGAGCAGTATAATACAGTAGGACTGTGAAGCCATCAATAAGAGGCATATTCTTATTTTGTAATAATACAACATGAGTGAGATTATCAAATGCATTTGCTGCATTTGCAGATTTTTTCTGCATTTTCCATGTAGCTTTTTGCCCTCTACATTGCCTGTATGGAATTTTTGCTCATTTGCATACCAAGAACATCTAACTGCATCTTGTAATTGCAGTAATATTATATACCAAAAGTAAAGTATGCATGAAGGTGAAAGGTAGATGGGAGAGAAAACTTTACAATGCAGCAGGTGTTGGATTAAGACAAAGTGTTTTGGATCCTCAAATTGGGTTTAGTGCTAAAAAATTTCAAATTAGAACTGCATAATCCATTGTTTAAAATACAGTGGAACCTTGGTTTTTGTTTTTAATTAGTTCCAGAGAGTGATGAAAACCAAATTCGATGAAAACTAAAGCAATATTTCCTATAAGAAATAATGTAAATCCAATTAATCCGTTCCAGACACCCAAAAATATTAACGAAAAATACATTTTATAGAAAATAACTATAGTTTTACATACAGAAAACAAAGAAAAATAAATATAAAGCACTAATTTTAGTGGATAAATGAACAGTTTAACCTTTATTGAAGACTCTTGTTTGTCCAAACTTGGAACCTTGCCATACCTTAACACACTGTATGCCAGATCTCTTCTTGAAGTTGTTGGCCCAGCCTCTGCTGGCCTTAAATTCACTAACAGCAGCACTCATTCCAGGCATATTCTTTACAAGATCCGCATGCAACTGCCTTGCCTTTTTGCAAATTATCACCTCCACAACACTATCTCTGCTAACTGTTTTTCGTTGATCCACACCAACAACAACTTCTCAACATCTTCGATTGTTTGTGATCTCTGTTTCATTAGCACACTTACCCCTTTTGCAACATCAGATTCCTTGATTTATTTTTTCTTCACCAGGATGGAATTGATCGTTGATGAGGACTTCCCATACATCCTGGCGAGATCGACCACACGTACACCACTTTCGTACTTTTCTACAAGATCTTTCTTGAATTCTATCGTGTTTGTCACCTTCTTTATCAAAGGGCTGGCACTTGGAACTTTATTTGGCCCCATGGTGGCTTATTTAGCAGTCGTACTCAATAAACAAGCACAAAAAAAATTGATTATTATGAAATGTTTTGTATGAATGCACAGGGCATTGTTCACTTGACAAGAAACAAAGCCAGACTGACTCAGAATGCGTGCATGGGATGCTTTGTTTGGGTGTGGGCGCGCGGACATGTTCGGTACGGCAAACAAAAACCAAGGTGATGAACGAAAACTGGGACAATATTTTGATGAAAAAGGTTGTCAAAAACCAAATTCAATGAAAATCAGGGCAAACGAAAACCAAGGTTTCACTGTACAATCCACAAATGTAAAATAATATAAACACTGATAGAGAGCCTGTTTTTCCAATATTTAAAGTCATATTTTTCTTGCAGTTGATCCACCAGTGGCACTTGGAACAGGTGAACCCTTAGTTGTTACCTTCGAAAAAATGAGCAAGAGCAAACTGAATGGTATTGACCCACAGGTATTATTGATAGTGACTACACAAAGTAGAGATAATATACTGTTTAAAGTATTTGGGAATTATAAATGATTATGTATGCTTAACAGTTCACAAACAGGCCAAATTATTATCTCTCAGGCTACAACAGGATTGAAGCCTGCACACACTGCATCAAAGTACACAGTACTTTAGCCACACAGCATACTTTCATGCACAGTGTGCAGGTTTGAATCCTGCTGTAGCCTGAGAAATAATGTTTGTAAATAATTGTGTATGAGTTCAAGACAATTATAAATACAGAAGTTTCAAAGGGATGGCAAGTGGTACATTAATTGATTCCATTTGTTTTAGAAGTGCTTATCATCACAATGGTATATCACATTGAGGTATTATATCAGAATGTTGAACAATCTTTTTTTTTTTTTTTTAAATACAGTCTGTGGGTCTGATCTTTCTTGATTATCTTCCTTTAATGCCTCTGTATTTTTAAATAAAGTACAGTAATTCACTCTTGTAAAGATTTCATAAATTTTTTGAAATAATATATGTTCTCAAGTAACATCATCATAGTGGAACTTGGAATTAACAAATACATTGTTAATATGGGAACTGACAGTGTATGGAGAGAAGGTAAAGAAAGAGTATGAAGAGAAGTTAATTGTAAATTATTAAAAGGAAAGTTAGTTGTAAATTACTGAAGGTGAAGCTACTCCAACAGTATTGTATTAATATTAGTAGAATTACCGACAATATGTTAGGTAAAAAAAACACAAGTGCAACTAATGTGACATTTTATTATGGCTACGTTTTTGCTCCTGGAGAGCGAAACGTTGATAAAGTTCCTGGAGCTTGATAAAGGTCCTGGAGAGCAAAATGTTGCTACAATAAAATGTCACATTAGTTGCACTTGTGTCCTTTTATACAACTGTATTGCTCACCAACACTGATATGGTTTACAGGAAATACTGCAGAAGTATGGCACAGATACCACCAGACTCCTGATGTTAGGCAACTTTGCTCCATCCTCACAAAGAAATTGGTCTGAAGATAGTAAGACATTCCAGTTTTGTTCCCTGATGTTTATGAACTATGTAGTAGTGTAATAATTTATTGTATGAATTGAAGTGAAATAAGAAAACATGAACAGTAATCTTTAATTTTGAGATACGTACTGCATGCAATACATAATGTACTATGAATTGATACATTTTATCAACATTATTTATTATAATGCAACTATTTAGATTTTCATGTCCGATAAGATTTAACATGGAGTATTTTTTTTTTGTTATCTTCTAGCGTTTCCTGGTATCCTGAACTGGCAGAAACGTTTGTGGTTGACAGTTATGGATTTTATAAACATCCGAAAAAATACACAAGATAGTGAGAAAGTCTCTTTGAGGTAAGGCTATTGTTGATTAACCCATTTTTATATTTTTTTTTTATTAACACATCGGCCGATTCCCACCAAGGCCTCTAGGGTGGCCTGAAAAAGAAAAACTTTCATCATCATTCACTCCATCACAGTCTTGCCAGAGTGGTCCTTTACACTACAGTTATAAAACTGCAATATTAACACCCCCTCCTTCAGAATGCAGACACTGTACCTCCCATCTCCAAGACTCAAGTCCGGCCTGCCGGTTTCCCTGAATCCCTTCGTAAATGTTACTTTGCTTACACTCCAACAGCACATCAAGTATTAAAAACCATTTGTCTCCATTCACTCCCATCAAATACGCTCATGCATGCTTGCTGGAAGTCCAAGCCCCTCGCACACAAAACCTCCTTTACTCCCTCCCTCCGACCCCTATCCCGCCTTCCCTCCACTACAGATTTATACACTCTCGAAGTCATTCTGTTTCGTTCCATTCACTCTACATGTCCGAACCACCTCAACAACCCCTCCTCAGCCCTCTGGATAATAGTTTTGGTAATCCCACACCTCCTAATTTCCAAACTACGAATTCTCTGCATTATATTCACACCACACATTGCCCTCAGACATGACATCTCCACTGCCTCCAGCCTTCTTCTCATTGCAACATTCATCACCCATGCTTCACACCCATATAAGATTGTTGGTATAACTATACTCTCATACATTACCCTCTTTGGTTCCACAGACAAAGCTCTTTGCCTCCACAGACTCCTAAGTGTACCACTCACCCTTTTTCCCTCATCAATTCTGTGATTCACCTCATCCTTCATAGACCCATCTGCTGACACGTCCACTCCCAAATATCTGAATACATTCCTGTACTCCATACTCTCTTCCTCCAATCTGATATCCAATCTTTCATCACCTAATCTTTTTGTTATCCTCATCGCCTTACTCTTTCCTATATTCACTTTTAATTTTCTTCTTTTACATACCCTACCAAATTCATCCACCAACCTCTGCAACTTCTCTTCAAAATCTCCCAGATGCACAGTGTCATCAGCAAAGAGCAACTGTGACAACTCCCACTTTGTGTTTGATTCTTTATCTTTTAACTCCACACCTCTTGCCAAGACCCTTGCATTTACTTCTCTTACAACCCCATCTATAAATATATTGAACAACCATGGTGACATCACACATCCTTTTCTAAGACCTACTTTTACTGGGAAATAATCTCCCTCTTTCCTACATACTGAGCCTCACTATACTTGTAAAAACTCTTCACTGCTTTCAGTAACGTACCTCCTATACCATACACCTGCAACATCTGCCACATTCACCCTCCCACCCATCCACTCTGTCATACGCCTTTTCCAAATCCATAAATGCCACAGAAACCTCTTTAGCCTTATCTAAATACTGTTCACTTATATGTTTCACTGTAAACATTTGATCTACACACTCCCTACCTTTCCTAAAGCCTCCTTGTTCATCTGCTATCCTATTCTCCATCTTACTCTAAATACCTTCCATTCCTCAGGTGCTGTATGACCCTTATGGGTTTAGTGCTTTCTTATGAATACATATAATAATATTTTAACTGGAAGATTGTTACTCTTTCAGCTAAAGTCTATATTAACCTCTTCATTATAAATTATGACATTAGAGTAAGATTTAGCTTTTACAAATGTAGGTTTTTAATTTATTAATTGCAATGAGTAACTAGTTTATGTTTTGTGTTAAAATTTTCTGTGCTGACCTACGGTGCTTGTGGAAGGTACCTGATATAAATTAATATCCAAAGTAATGCCCTACCCTGGTACATTTGTTGATGAGACAAAAAGTTATACAGGAGGGCCCCGTTTTACAGCGCTTTGCTTTACAGCATTTTACTAATGCAGCGGTTTTCAATTATACCCATTTTTTATTTATTCGAACTTCCTACAATAAATATATTCACCACTCACTTTAAGCTGAGGATGAAAATATTTTAAGGTAAGTAATGTGTTGTCCGTATACACATTTTTAGACCTAGCTATATTGCTCACTTAATATAAGATTGTATAAACATGTTATTGGGCTTTTATATGCATTTGAAAGTGAAAAAAGACTGTTTCACTTTACAGCAATTTTAGCTTTACAGCGGAACCCAGAACCTAACCCATTGTATAAGCAGGGCCCTCCTGTACTGGCCTGGCAACTCAAAGTTGGACATCTCAGGATTCCCTATGGCTACTGGCTACTTGTGTGATGGACACTTTTATGTCTATGGTCTTCCTGCACACTGTGGTCTTGAAGGATATTTGTGGATATTTTTGGCGATTGACAAATTAATATGGGCAGGATTCAGTCACTGACATGAACCCCACTGAGAATCTCTGGGCTGAGATAAAGCCAGATCTGCTAGTGGAAGGTATCAGCCAACTCTCACAGCTTTAGTATGCCATCTGCAAGTCGTGGAGGAATTCACCCCACGAACACTGAAAAATGTGTGTTAATCACTTCTTAGATGGTTGAAAGATGCCCTAAAGAGTAAGGGACAACCTATTTTGTGATATTTAGAAGGGAACTGACGTACTTTAATGATGAGCACTGCATATTGTAATGTATGTATTCACCTTTATGTGGATGTAAAGGTCGAGTCGTCACTCCTGGTTTCACCTCTCAACTTGCTGCTTGCCAGATTTACTCCCTCCTGGCCTCTTGGGTCCTATTGTACCTATTCTTAAAACTATATACAGAGTCTGCCTCCACCACTTCTTCTATCTATGACAATGCAACACTGAGACCTCACCAGATCTGAACAGTTGTCAGATATCCCCCATCAGAAGACTTTATCATATTTCTTCCATTACAAGTATTTATAGTAATAGTTAACAGTTTAAAATCCAAAACAGTAAGTGATTCCTTTGTCATGACTTTCAGGGAAGAATTATAGAGAAAACACTGTCACAGTAAGATTACTTGAAAAATGCTCTACAGTAAGATAAATTTATGCTGATACATGTCAAAGTAGTCTACACATACTGTATATGATTAGCAAACTATATAAAATGGTTTTCACAAAAAATGCTAAACAAAAATGGAAATGTAGTGGTAGTGCAATTTAAACATTGAAGATGGAATACCACGAGCATAACTCGTCTTTTGACCACCAATACTGCAGGGTAGGTAATATCTCACACACATTATATATGTGTATGTATGCATAAATACAGTAGAACCCCCATATCTGTGGATTCGGTTTCCGCGATTTCAGTTATCCACGGTTTACCGTGGCCCAAAAATATTAAATGGGAAATTTCAGAAATAAAAGATTCGTAAGTCTTAAATTGTACACTCAGTACATGACTTCTCTCTCTTTGTCCTCTCTACCCATGCTGGCCCACTTTACTTGCATCCAGTTAGCCTCTAGCATTCTCACTGTCTGCATTATCACAGTGTTGTGAAAATAACCCTTAATTTTCCTTAATGGTCCCAAAGCACAAAAGTTCTCCAAAGACTAAGAGAAGCGATGAAGTGCTTCCCATCAGTTAAAAAGTGATAATTCTCCACTTATTGTGCAAATTTATCAATTAAACTTTATAAAAGATTTTTTTTTTTTTCAACAAGTCGGCTGTCTCCCACCGAGGCAGGGTGACCCAAAAAAGAAAGAAAATCCCCAAAAAGAAAATACTTTCATCATTATTCAACACTTTTACCACACTCACACATTATCACTGTTTTTACAGAGGTGCTCAGAATACAACAGTTTAGAAGCATATACATATAAAGATACACAACATATCCCTCCAAACTGCCAATATCCCAAACCCCTCCTTTAAAGTGCAGGCATTGTACTTCCCATTTCCAGGACTCAAGTCCGACTATATGAAAATAACCGGTTTCCCTGAATCCCTTCACTAAATATTACCCTGCTCACACTCCAACAGATCGTCAGGTCCCAAGTACCATTCGTCTCCATTCACTCCTAACACGTTCACGCACGCTTGCTGGAAGTCCAAGCCCCTCGCCCACAAAACCTCCTTTACCCTCTCTCTCCAACCCTTTCGAGGATGACCCCTACCCTGCCTTCCTTCCCCTATAGATTTATGTGCTTTCCATGTCATTCTACTTTGATCCATTCTCTCTAAATGACCAAACCACCTCAACAACCCCTCTTCTGAACTCTGACTAATACTTTTATTACTCCACACCTTTTCCTAATTTTCACACTCCGAATTTTCTGCATATTTACACCACACATTGCCCTTAAACAGAACATCTCCACTGCCTCCAACCGTCTCCTCGCTGCTGCATTTACCACCCAAGCTTCACACCCATATAAGAGTGTTGGTACTACTATACTTTCATACATTCCCTTCTTTGCTTCCATAGATAACGTTTTTTGACTCCACATATATCTCAACGCACCACTCACCTTTTTTCCCTCATCAATTCTATGATTAACCTCATCCTTCATAAATCCATCTGCCGACACGTCAACTCCCAAGTATCTGAAAACATTCACTTCTTCCATACTCCTCCTCCCCAATTTGATATCCAATTTTTCTTTATCTAAATCATTTGATACCTTCATCACCTTACTCTTTTCTATGTTCACTTTCAACTTTCTACCTTTACACACATTCCCAAACTCATCCACTAACCTTTGCAATTTTTCTTAGAATCTCCCATAAGCACAGTATCATCAGCAAAAAGTAACTGTGTCAATTCCCATTTTGAATTTGATTCCCCAAAATTTAATCCCACCCCTCTCCCGAACACCCTAGCATTTACTTCCTTTACAACCCCATCTATAAATATATTAAACAACCATGGTGACATTACACATCCCTGTCTAAGACCTACTTTTACCGGGAAGTAGTCTCCCTCTCTTCTACACACCCTAACCTGAGCCTCACTATCCTCATAAAAACTCTTTACAGCATTTAATAACTTACCACCTATTCCATATACCTGCAACATCTGCCACATTGCTCCTCTATCTATATATATAGATATATATATAGATCAAGGTAGAATGACATGGAAAGCATATAAATCTATAGGGGAAGGAAGGCGAGGTAGGGGTCGTCCTCGAAAGGGTTGGAGAGAGGGAGTAAAGGACGTTTTGTGGGCAAGGGGCTTGGACTTCCAGCAAGCGTGCGTGAGCGTGTTAGATAGGAGTGAATGGAGACGAATGGTACTTGGGACCTGACGATCTGTTGGAGTGTGAGCAGGGTAATATTTAGTGAAGGGATTCAGGGAAACCGGTTATTTTCATATAGTCGGACTTGAGTCCTGGAAATGGGAAGTGCAATGCCTGCACTTTAAAGGAGGGGTTTGGGATATTGGCAGTTTGGAGGGATATGTTGTGTATCTTTATACGTATATGCTTCTAAACTGTTGTCTTCTGAGCACCTCTGCAAAAACAGTGATTATGTGTGAGTGTGGTGAAAGTGTTGAATGATGAAAGCATTTTCTTTTTGGGGATTTTCTTTCTTTTTTGGGTCACCCTGCCTCGGTGGGAGACGGCCAACTTGTTGAAAAAAAAAAAAAAGTATAGAACATATATATAGGATTTGTTACTAACTGCAGTTTCATTTCCACGGCAGGTCCTTGGAATGTATTCCCCACAGATACAGGGGTCCTGCTGTATATGTATACTGTATGTATAATATACAGTGGACCCCCGGTTAACGATATTTTTTCACTCCAGAAGTATGTTCAGGTGCCAGTACTGACCGAATTTGTTCCCATAAGGAATATTGTGAAGTAGATTAGTCCATTTCACACCCCCAAACATACACGTACAAACGCACTTACATAAATAAACTTACATAATTGGTCGCATTCGGAGGTGATCGTTATGCGGGGGTCCACTGTACATGAATTCATTCATTTATTCATTTGTTATAAAAAATATTGTTGGCTGTAAGATATGTTATTTTCCTACATCTTACAGCCTAGAAGGAACACAGGAGCACACACAGTTCCTCTGGAAGAGCCGCAACCGCTATGTACGGAGCATTACGTATGTTTTTGAGTATACACATCAGTTGAGTGTTGCCATCTCTTTCATGCAAGGGCTAACTAGCAGTCTGAGGGTAAGTTGCTCATAAACTTCTCCAAGTATCTTTAATTATTCTTAATACATTTACAGTCGAGTCCCTAAGCTTGCAAGGATCACATTATTACATGCAGGTCTTGTTAATCTGTAATTTACGAATAATATAAAATTTAACTTTTTAATTTTTCATATTTAGGCTCATTTTGTGCTTGAAAGGCCTTATCCCTGTAAACACTGACTTGTTCCACTTGGTTTTAATGTTGATATAAGAAAATCATGAGAGAGAGAGAGAGAGAGAGAGAGAGATATAGAGAGAGATATAGACAGATATAGAGAGAGAGATATAGAGAGAGAGATAGATAGATAGATAGATAGATATTGGAAGGCTATTGATGACATCTTGAATACATTTCTTTGGTTAATTCTCACTTTATTACAATACATGCATATTTTATAACTTAAAATAATGTATACAATGTTCTCTCTCTTCTTCAGAAAGTACCAAACTGCCTGATGTTATCTGAGGAATTTGAGAGAACATTGGGAGCTCTGATCATTATGTTGAGCCCCTTAGCTCCACACTTTGCCAGTGAGCTTTGGGCAGGATTCTGTAGTGTTGCTAATTCTTCACACATTAATAAGGTCTGTATTTCTGAATTTATTTTATTAAGTTAAATATTTTTTATATACTGTATAACGTTTTGAATTTATGGTAGTAAACCTTCAATTTAATGGATTAATAGAAGAGTGTGTGGCAGGTAATATACATTATGGTGGATAGAGATGGGATTATTTTGCCATGATCATAATGACAGACTTTGTTTCTAAATTAACTGACCCAGCAGATTTGTCCAATACTTCCAGAGTTCATTAAATCAAAGGTTTACTGTATACTGTATGATAAATCAAGATCTGTTACATCAAGCATTTACTGTATAGTGCATTTTCCCAAAAAGTATGCTGTATTGTTGGTTGTGTACAACCAACAATACAATGGAAACCAAAGAATGTTACATTATAGTGCTTTTATTCATGTTATAACAGGAGTCATGGAGGGATCTAAACAAACTCACTTAAAAAAGAATTCTTCACCCTTGTTTTTCTTGATCCCTATGATACTTTCAGGGGGCAGTCCTTGATGCTGAAGGACTCTTGGTCCAAAGAACTGGAGCTGCCCTTTTTTTTTCTTGGATATAACCTGATTGCCTCCCATTCCCCAGTTGCTGTATGAACCACAAGGGTTTAGCAACTCTTCACGAATGTAATAATAATCATAAAGAGAATTCGTAGTTTGGAAGTTAGGAGGTGCGGGATTACCAAAACTGTTGTCCAGAGGGCTGAGGAAGGGTTGTTGAGGTGGTTCGGACATGTAGAGAGAATGGAGCGAAACAGAGTGACTTCAAGAGTGTATCAGTCTGTAGTGGAAGGAAGGCGGGGTAGGGGTCGGCCTAGGAAAGGTTGGAGGGAGGGGGTAAAGGAGGTTTTGTGTGCGAGGGGCTTGGACTTCCAGCAGGCATGCGTGAGCGTGTTTGATAGGAGTGAATGAAGACAAATGGTTTTTAATACTTGATGTGCTGTTGGAGTGTGAGCAAAGTAACATTTATGAAGGGGTTCAGGGAAACCGGCAGGCCGGACTTGAGTCCTGGAGATGGGAAGTACAGTGCCTGCACTCTGAAGGAGGGGTGTTAATGTTGCAGTTTAAAAACTGTAGTGTAAAGCACCCTTCTGGCAAGACAGTGATGGAGTGAATGATATTGAAAGTTTTTCTTTTTCGGGCTACCCTGCCTTGGTGGGAATCGGCCAGTGTGATGATAAAAAAAAAATAATAAAGAGAAAGTGAAGAAGTATTTGAGATTATGGATGAAGAGCAATAACAGAACTGAAATTAAACCAGGAAGACAGATTTCAGAGTGGCTCTTTACCGAAAAATGCAGCACTGGGGATATGATTGTGTTTGAAAATTTCTGAGATATACTCTGGATTTCCCTACACTGCTCATCATTCATGACTTCCAAAATTCTTTAAGAAACATAGCACAGCAAAAACAAAAAGTATACTGTACACATTTTAAATTTTTAAGCATTGCAACACTGTATTTTACCCAAGTGTTTAGCTCTCAGTCATGGCTAGAGTTTATGTAAAATCAAACTATGATTTTATGTAAACTCTAGCCCTATCAAAATACAGCTCTAGCCATGTCAAAATACAACATGACCATGGGATAGGTTATTAGTCCTCAATTTTAATGACTCCATCTCTTGCTGTATGCCTCATATGGGTTTAGTGCATTTTGGTGAATATAATTTTTATGACCTAGAGGGTGTGAAGAAAACTATGTAATACAAGCTTCCTCAAAATGATTCAGTGCTCTATGAAGACTGAGGAAAAAAACACCGTTAGAGAATTCTGAGTGGGCAGTTTGGACATGTTATCCTGGTTCTTGGACAATCATGTTCACACTGAAAAGCTGCAAGGCCAAATAACACACTGAGAAATAATTTTTATGTATCTTTTTCAGGACCTTGCCCTACTAGAGCAGCAGTGGCCTGAAGTTGATCAAGAATATCCTCTTTCTCTTAAGTATTCGGTTAGTATAATTTTTTTTTTTTTTAACTGAATGCTATCTCCTGCCAAGGTAAGGGTAACCTAATGAAGAAAACATATTCACCAACATTCATTCAATTGCTGTCTTTCCAGAGGTGTGCTGACATCAAATTCAGATTGCCCTCCAACTGCACCATTCCCATTGGAATGGTAAAAACATATGATAGTATGAAGACAGCAAATACTGTAATGTTTTATTTGTACAGCTTTTCACCCACTGGGAGCTTTCTCAAGTATATGATAGTTCACAGTGTAAAACCTTGTGCCAATGTAAGGTTCTCTTATATCTTTCTGTAATCATTTGATCCAAGCAGGGGAAGAATAGCTTCAATTCCTTGAATCAAGAGCCCCTCACTGTCATTGAGGCACCTCTCCTAAGGAAAAGTAGTTAAGAATTTAGGGAAGGATTGAAGGTACAGTGTGTAGAGAAAATTCATTAACATCTATCTGCACAATATTCCCTTTTGCAGGTGCTTGGGAAAGAGGCTCGTGAAGTGAAAGTACCAAGGAAGGTACTAGATCACTTGACTCCTGAGGCAGCATTAGATCTGATTTCTGCTGCTGAAGATTTTCAAGATTACTTGGGAGAAAGGTCCATTATTGCTACACATCTGAAAGTACTACCAGGCCTAGAAGCATCCGTATTTTTCAAATATAAAGTGCAAGATATATCTAAAGTAAAGGAGGCCCTAAAAAAGATGAATGCAGAGAAAAAGAAGCAGAAATTAGAGAAGAGATTAAAAAAGGAATTAAGAAAAGCAGAATGTTGATATGATCTGTTAATTTTAAAAATTGAGTGGATAAATCATCTCTGAAGTGTGTGTAAATAATTTTGTTAGGTAAGACACATGCAACAGTTAGGTATCTTTATTTTGAAACGTTTCGCCTACACAGTAGGTTTCTTCAGTCGAGTACAGAAAAGTTGATAGAAGCAGAAGAGACTTGAAAACGATGTAATCAGTCCATCACCCTTGAAGTTTTGAGGTGGTCAGTCCCTCAGTCTGGAGAAGAGTATTGTTCCATAGTCTGAAACAATATTGTTTCAGACTGTGGAACAATACTCTTCTCCAGGCTGAGAGACTGACCACCTCAAAACTTCAAGGGTGATGGACTGATTACATCGTCTTCAAGTCTCTTCTGCTTCTATCAACTTTTCTGTACTCGACTGAAGAAGCCTACTGTGTAGGCAAAAACGTTTCGAAATAAAGATACCTAACTAACTGTTGCATATGTGTCTTACCTAACAACCTGTCAGTATTTTATACCATTTTAATGTAAATAATTTTTTTTTCATATTTGTTTCTATTGAGCCTATTAAAATTTTAGGTACTTCATACTGCACTGATGTGTTCACTTATCTTGCAGAATGTTAATAAAACGTTAATATTCAAAATCATTTTTATTGTACCACATGCTATTTTGTACAACTTATTTTTTCCAGTATACTCTACATTATTCACCTGTATATACACTACTAGAGCAGAGAAACATGCAAATGTCTTGTGAATTTATAAACTTGGCTATTAGGCAACAATCAATTTACTTAACAAGCGAAGTGTTTATTATAATAATCTTAGCAAAAATCAGTCAGAACATCACAAAATAAACATTCACATTATAATGTATTTTATTACCACTATTATATTTATGCAGCGCTGTATTACCCAAGTGGGTTTAGCGCATCTTTTTTATAATAACATATTTATGAGGAAACCCTATCCCTACAGAGGTCATACAGCACCTGGGGAAACGGATGGAATCGGGTTTGACCTAAGGAAGGTACGGACGGGTTTAATTCATTAGATCAAGAGCTCCTCGCCAGTATCAAGGGCCCTCCTCTAGGAGTATATTTTAATGATGAAGGGCTATATATGAACTAAATTCAGCCTTATCCTATAAAGGCTGGATAATTATTATTATAATCAAAAAGAAGCGCTAAGCCAAAAGGCTGGATAAGATTATGCTATGCTACGTAAAATTATGCTGATGAAGTGCTCTTTGGTAAAGGGAGTGGAACTAGTGTACCATTCCTTTGATAAAATCTGATTACATATCTTTCATTCCCCAGGTACTCTATGAATCCTAGGGGTTAGTGCTTTCCCATTTTAATAATACATAAATTTAATAAAATTTGCAGACCAATACATCAGAACGTTCTATACCTAGAAAATGCAGTAACAGACGTAATGACTTTACCCCTATATTTGTTTAGAATTTAAATTTGTGATATTTCTCATTGGTCACTTATGTTGAATATGTAAAGTTGTATTAATAGAACTTGTAGTGTTCCTCAGGCTGGAGATTAACATAATCTTCACTGGCCTCCCACAATTTCTTGGCCAACCCTATATCACAAACCAGTTCTGATACGTTGTCTGACACCTATAAATAGGAAAAACTGCAGTATTTGTACATACAATACTTTCAGATTACAATCATGCCAATAATCCAATGTTGTTGGGACAACCAAGAGTAGAAGTGTTAACAGTGTAATCCTGATATATACCACCAGTTATAGTAAGGCTCCCATGTCATGCTGACATCATGTGACTTCCTTCTGAATCACAATTTCCACAGTCTGACAGAACCACCCCTAAGTTTCCTATTCCAACCTACATAGTAAAAGTTAAATATAACTTAAAAAGACTAACCAAACATATTAAAATAAAACATTTAACCTAACCATATTTAAACTGATTTACCTATCCAGTTTAAAGAAAATTCAAAATCTAGCGAACTGTAAACAAAACTAAAAAACTTACCTAACTGCTTCAAGTTTATAAAAAAAATGGATTGAAAGTACTAAGCATACCAAGAGATAGCTGGCTGACAGACAGCAACTATCAACATCCATTCTACAGTGGACCCCCGCATAACGATCACCTCCGAATGCGACCAATTATGTAAGTGTATTTATGTAAGTGCATTTGTACGTGTATGTTTGGGGGTCTGAAATGGACTAATTTACTTCACAATATTCCTTATGGGAACAAATTCTGTCAGTACTGGCACCTGAACATACTTCTGGAGTGAAAAAATATCGTTAACCGGGGGTCCACTGTATACTCTCCCAGAGCACTCCAACATCCAAAACAAAACAAAAGCATTCACATTGCTAAACTCACAAACTAGTATTTAGTCACTTAGCCATAATACCAACTTACCTCATAATTTTGTAATATTTTAAACTTAAGATTTAATCTAAGTCTGCCCGAAATGCCTAGCCATGCTAGGTGTTCTAGTGGTACACTCAGTAATTATTATTTTACTACATGTAAACCACACAATAACCAAATTCTGTAAACTCAGCATTGTAATCCTTATAGAGAATAAACTTTGAATTGAATTCTATACTCTCCCAAAGCAATCTAACATCCACTCTATACTCTCCCAAAGCAATCTAACATCCATTCTATACTCTCCCAAAGCATTCCAACATCCATTCTGTACTCTCCAGGCATACTTCAACACCCATCTTATCACATGAATTTGAAACAAAAGCCTGTTAAATGTTCTCTAGTAGGATTGCTTGTAATCTTTGTCTCATGAACACGTAATATGGAAAGTAAATCTTACAAACTATTACTTACATACAGCATACAGTTTACTTTTCTGTGTTTTTCTTAATACTATTGTGATATGAGATTAGGCAACAAAAGCAATGAAATTCCCAGAACTGCTTAGTTATATACCCCCTTTGACTTAAGGTAGAAGCTATGTAACTTACAATACACAAGTCAACTTATGACTGATAATATACTGTATGGGTAAGAAAAAATTTTCCTTTATCATAGTGGCTATTCTTCTTGTTTGACTAACTTATACTGATTTATTAAACTTGCGATGGCTTTTAAATTTATTTTAAAGTTTGATTAATTGGCAGACCCAGCTCTGAGCATTGTAATGATAGCACTCAATGATCCATACAATTTAGAGCCTTTTGTGACTATTAATAATGTGTGTAATATCTTTCTTCTTCTTTCAACACACCGGCTGTATCCCACTGAGGCGGGGTGGCCCAAAAGGAAAAACAAAAGTTTCTCCTTTTACATTTAGTAATATATACAGGAGAAGGGGTTACTAGCCCCTTGCTCCTGGCATTTTAGTCGCCTCTTGCAACATGCATGGCTTAGGGAGGAAGAATTCTGTTCCACTTCCCCATGGAGGTAAGAGGAAATAAACAAGAACAAGAACTAGAAAGAAAATAGAAGAAAACCCAGAGAGGTGTGTATATATATGCTTGTACATGTATGTGTATTGTGACCTAAGTGAAAGTAGAAGTAGCAAGATGTACCTGAAATCTTGCATGTGTATGAGACAGAAAAAAAAGACACCAGCAATCCTACCATCGTGTAAAACAATTACAGGCTTCCATTTTACACTCGCTTGGCAGGACGGTAGTACCTCCCTGGGCAGTTGCTGTCTACCAACCTACTACCTAGGGTGTGTAATATCATTACTGACAAATATCTGTTTCAGTAGAGAACATGACATTTTTGCACTTCAGTGTCAAAGATAATGTATTAAGTCAATCACAGCTGCTACTGCTACGACCATTTGCCAATAACTGGTAGTATTATTATTATAATCATAACTAAGCACTAAACCCATAAGGGTCATACAGCACTGCATCACTGACTAGTAAAACCATAATAGTTTAACATTTTCTTGTAAACATATTATAATAATGTGGGTGGGTCACCAGGTTTATTGTTGGCTTATGCTTATAGAAGCCTGACTGGTTAGGACCAGGGAGCTACAAATACCTTTTAAGGATCCTTGGATATAAAAATGCATATCTGGTTGTAAGATAAATAAAATAACAAATTATTAAATAAAAGTGTAAATTTAATTTTTATATATATTATAAAAAAATAATTCTTAAGATTTGTCTATTTTAAAATACAGTGTGTCCACAAAAACTCTCCCTGATTTCAAACAGGTATAATATATAACTTTATTGTAATAATCTTTCACAGTTAGTAGCTTCAGATGCAGGATTTCATTCAGTTTCATGTGGTATAAGGTAGCATTAAAAGCACTCAATGTGCGCCCCTCTGGTTGCCCAGCAAACATTGATGCGATAGTCCAGTTCAGTCCAGACGCTCTGCAGCATATCTGGAGTTACCATGCAAACTGCTTCAGTGATTGAAATTTTCAGCTCCTTCAGGGTTGCAGGCAGTGGCAGTACGTAAACTGTGCTATTCACATACCCCCAAAGAAAGTAGTCACAAACAGTTAGGTCTGGTGACCTCGCAGGCCACTTGTAGAGGTCACTGGACCTAACTGTTTGTGACTTCCTTCTTTGGGGGTATGTGAAGAGCACAGTTTATGTACCACCACTACCTGCAATCCTGGAGGAGCCTAAAATTTCGATCACCGAAGCAGTTTGCATGATAATTCCAGATATGCTGCAAAGCGTCTAGACCAAACTGGACTATTGCATCGATGTTTGCCGAGCAACCAGAGGGGCGCACATTGAGTGCCTTTAATGCTACCCTATACCACATGAAACTGAATGAACTCCTGCATCTGAAGCTACTAACTGTGAAAGATTTTTACAATAAAGTTACATGTTATACCTGTTTGAAATCAGTGAGTGTTTTTGTGGACACCCTGTACAAATCAAATTCACACAATATTAAAAAAAAAAAAATTAAATAATTAACTGGACAAGCAAATTAAAGTATCTGAAAGCATAAAAGTTTCCAGTAGTTTACATTACTGAAAGTAATGTTATTCTGCAAGAGTAGCTACTTGCTAAGAAAAAATACTAATGCTTCCTTACTAAAATCCAAAGTAAATTCAGGCTAAGCACTGACCTTACAATTCTCAAAGAATTTTCCTGAAATAGTAGCAGCTTCCTCTGAGATTGCCAGATGAATAATAGTCTGGGCACCTTGCAATGCAGTCTGCCAAAGATTGAATAATGATCATTAAATGAAAACAACTTCAGCTCAAGATATTACATGCAGAGCAATCTTCAAAAACACAATGCTCATTTTCTTCCCCTACCTTTCCCATAATTGGAGCAAGGACTCTAAAGATCTTGCCAATATAGAAGCCACCAGACTTTTGGAAGATATCTGTTCTCACAAGGCCTGGGCAAAGTGCATTCACCACCACCCCTATAAAAAACAACGACAAAAATATCAGCAGTATAGCTTAGATTACAATCACAATGAAATGCAAGACACTATGCACAGCCTCTCCTTACTTAATAACAGAGTTCCGCTCCTAAAACCACATCGGTAAACAAATTCATCACTAAGTGAAGAGCATACATAATGGTAGTTTGTGTCAACTATCTTTGATATTGTTTCAATGTAACCTTTGCACCATTTATAACATTTCTGGTATATTTTTAAACGTTTATACAGTAGTGTACTGTATATTGTGATAAAAAGAATAAGGAAATCAGCTCTAATATACATTATTTAGGCATGCATACTGGTCAGAGCCCATCGTAAGTCCGAGGCGTTGGTAAATAAGTACACTGCTAAGTGAAGAGAGGCTGTATTTAAAACAGTGCAGTTTACTGAAGTTTTCGGGAACACAATTGGAAGTTAAAGACAGATGAGCCTCAGGAATGTCAGGAAATAATTCTTTAGCAGAATGATCTTGATGAAGAAGTGAGGGGCAGGCAGACTCCATACATAGTTTTAAGAACAGGTATGATAGGGCCCATGAAACTAGAAGAGGATTAAACCTGGAGCTAAGTCTCAAACCCCACAAACACAACTTGGTTAGTATACACAAGGACACATGGACATCAAAATACTATAACAGAAATCAGGAGGATGGATGGCAAGAACTTTCAAGGACATTAATGACTCATCATCAGTGCCAGGGGAAATATAAGGTAAAACATATAACACTTAACTCACACTCACTAACTCTCACACACACACACACACACACACACACACACACACACACACACACACACACAGTGTGTGTGTGTGTGTGTGTACCCCCTAACAACAATATTCAATACATCTATCGAAACAAGGAGATTGCCTGAGGCATGGAAGACAGCAAATGTAATCTCAATCTTTAAAGAAGGAGACAGACAGGAAGCACTATACTACAGACCAGTGTCACTGACATGTATAGCATGCAAAGTCATGGACAAGATTATCAGGAGAAGAGTGGTGGAACACCTATAAAGGAATGATCTCATCAACAGCAACCAACATGGTTTCAGGGATGGGAAATCCTGTGTCACAAACCTACTGGAGTTCTATGACAGGGTGACAGCAGTAAGACAAGAGAGAGAGAGAAAGAGAGGGGTGGGTGGATTGCATTTTCTTGGACTGCAAGAAAGCGTTTGGCACTGTTCCACACAAGAGATTAGTGCAAAAACTGGAGGACCAAGCAGGGATAACAGGGAAGGCACTACAATGGATCAGGGAATACTTGTCAGGAAGACAGCAGCGAGTCATGGTACGTGGCGAGGTGTCAAAGTGGGCGCCTGTGACCAGCAGGATCCCACAGGGGTCAGTCCTAGGACCAGTGCTGTTTCTGGTATTTGTGAATGACATGACGGAAGGAATAGACTCCGAAGTGTCCCTGTTTGCAGATGACGTGAAGTTGATGAGAAGAATTCATTCGATCGAAGACCAGGCAGAACTACAAAGAGACTAATCCCAGGACAGGCTGGACGTGTGGCCCAGCAACTGGCTCCTAGAATTTAACCCCGCCAAATGCAAAGTCACGAAGATCGGGGAAGGGCAAAGAAGATCGCAGACAGAGTATAGGCTGGGCGGCCAAAGACTGCAAACTTCACTCAAGGAGAAAGATCTAGGGGTGAGTGTAATACCGAGCATGTCTCCGGAAGCACACATTAACCAAATAACTGCTGCGGCATATGGGCATCTGGCAAACCTGAGAATAGTAAGGAATCATTCAAGACTGTACACTGTGTACGTCAGGCCCATACTGGAGTACACAGCACCAGTTTGGAACCCACACCTGGTCAAGCATGTCAAGAAATTAGAGAAAGTGCAAAGGTTTGCAACAAGGCTGGTTCCAGAGCTAAGGGGAATGTCCTACGGAGAAAGGTTAAGGTAAATCGGTCTGATGACACTGGAGGACAGGAGGGTCAGGGGAGACATGAAAACAACATACAAAATACTGCATGGACTAGATAAGGTGGACAGAGACAGGATGTGCCAGAGATGGGACACAGAAACAAGGGGTCACAACTGGAAGTTGAAGACTCAGATGAGTCAAAGGAATGTTAAGAAGTATTTCTTCAGCCACAGAGTTGTTAGGAAGTGGAATAGTCTGGCAAGTGATGTAGTGGAGGCAGGATCTATACACAGCTTTAAGGAGAGGTATAATAAAGCTCATAGAGCAGGTAGAGTGGCTGAGTAGCAGCCAGTGAAGAGGCGGGGCCAGGAGCTGAGACTCGACCCCTGCAACCACAACTAGGCGAGTACACACACGCATGCAGCCACAACTAGGTGAGTACACATGCACACACACACACACACACACATGCACACATACACACACATGCACACATACACACACATACTCACATACACACTCACACATACACATACACACATGTACACATGCACACACATACTCACATACACACTGGCCAGGAGCTAGGACTCGACCCCTGCAACCACAAATAGGTGAGTACACTCACACACATACACATACATACACACGCATTTTTTTTTTTAACAAGTCGGCCGTCTCCCACCGAGGCAGGGTGACCCAAAAAGAAAGAAAATCCCCAAAAAGAAAATATTTTCATCATTATTCAACACTTTCACCTCACTCACACATAATCACTGTTTTTGCAGAAGTGCTCAGAACACAACAGTTTAGAAACATATACTGTACGTATAAAGATACACAACATATCCCTCCAAACTGCCAATATCCCGAACCCCTCCTTTAGAGTGCAGGCATTGTACTTCCCATTTTCAGGACTCAAGTCTGGCTATATAAAAATAACCAGTTTCCCTGAATCCCTTCACTAAATATTACCCTGCTCACACTCCAACAGCTTGTCAGGTCCCAAATACCATTCGTCTCCATTCACTCCTATCAAACACGCACAAGCACGGCTGCTGGAAGTCCAAGCCCCTCGCCCACAAAACCTCCCTTACCCCTTCCTTCCAACCTTTTTGAGGACGACTCCTACCCCGCCATTCTTCCCTTACAGATTTATACGCTCTCAATGTCATTTTTATTTTTATTTTATTTATTTTATGTCTTTGCAAACAGTACAATGAGATTTTGTATTTGCAATAGTGGGTTGCAATGCAAAGAGAGCCTCTATTATGCCTAGGCATTATGGGTATTCTACTTTGATACATTCTCTCTAAATGACCAAACCACCTCAACAACCCGTCTTCAGCCCTCAGACTAATACTTTTATTAACTCCACACCTTCTCCTAATTTCCACACTCCGAATTTTCTGCATAATATTTACACCACACATAGCCCTTAGACAGGACATCTCCACTGCCTTCAACCGCCTCCTCGCTGCAGCATTTACAGCCAAAGCTTCACACACATATAAGAGTGTTGGTACTACTATACTTTCATACATTCCCTTCTTTGCCTCCACAGATAACGTTCTTTGTCTCCGCATATACCTCAACGCACCACTCGCCTTTTTTCCCTCAATTCTATGATTAACCTCATCCTTCATAAATCCATCCGCTGACACGTCAACTCCCAAATATCTGAAAACATACACTTCTTCCATACTCCTCCTCCCCAATTTGATATCCAATTTTTTTCTATCTAAATCATTTGATACCCTCATCACCTTACTCTTTTCTATGTTCACTTTCAACTTTCTACCTTTACACACACTCCCAAACTCGTCCACTAACCTTTGCAATTTTTCTTTAGAATCTCCCATAAGCACAGTATCATCAGCAAAATGCAACTGTGTCAATTCCCATTTTGTATTTGATTCCCCATAATTTAATCCCACCCCTCTCCTGAACACCCTAGCATTTGCTTCTTTTACAGCCCCATCTATAAATATATTAAACAACCATAGTGACATTACACATCCCTGTGTAATGTCACTATGGTAGTCTCCCTCTCTTCTACACACCCTAACCTGAGCCTCACTATCCTCACAAAAACTCTTTACAGCATTTAGTAACCTACCATCTATTCCATATACTTGCAACATCTGCCACATTGCTCCCCTACCCACTCTATCATATGCCTTTTCCAAATCCATAAATGCAATAAAAACTTCCCTACCTTTATCTAAATACTGTTCACATATATGCTTCAATGTAAACACTTGATCTACACATCCCCTACCCACTCAAAAACCTCCTTGCTCATCCACAATCCTACATTCTGTCTTACTTCTAATTCTTTCAATTAGTATAACCCTACCATACAATTTTCCTGGTATACTCAGTAAACTTATTCCTCTATAATTTTTACAATCTCTTTTGTTCCCCTTCCCTTTATATAAAAGGACTATACATTTACTCTGCCAATCCCAAGGTACCTTCCCCTCTTTCATACATTTATTAAACAAAAATACCTACCACCCCAACACTATACCCCCCCCCCCCTGCTTTTAACATTTTTGTCATGATCCCGTCAGTTCCAGCTGTTTTACCCCCTTTCATTTTATGCAATGCCTCATGCGCCTCCCCCATACTCACATCCTGTTCTTCACTCCTAAAAGATGGTATACCTCCCTGGCCACTGTATGAAATTACCGCCTCCCTTTCTTCGTCAACATTTAAAAGTTCCTCGAAATATTCTCACCATCTACCCAATACCTCCTCCATCTTCCCATCTACTAACTCCCCTACTCTGTTTTTAACTGACAAATCCATTTGTTCCCTAGGCTTTCTTAACTTGTTTAACTCACTCCAAAAATTTTTCTTATTTTCATTAAAATTTCTTGACAGCACCTTTCCCACTCTATCATCTGCTCTCCTTTTGCACTCTCTCATCACTCTTTCCATCTTTCTTTTACTCTCCATATAATCTACTCTCTTATAACACTTCTGTTTTGTAAAAACCTCTCATAAGCTAACTTTTTCTCTTTTATCTCACCCTTTACTTCATCATTCCACCAGTCACTCCTCTTTCCTCCTGCATCCACCCTCCTATAACCAATAACTTCTTCCCCACATTCTAATACTGCATTTTTAAAACTATTCCAACTCTCTTCAACCCCCTCACTACTCATACTTGCACCAGCCCACCTTTCCTTTCTGCCAATAGTTGCTTATATTTCACCCGAACTTCCTCCTCCCTTAGTTTATACACTTTCACCTCTCTCTTACTTGTTGTTGCCATTTTCCTCTTTTCCCATCTACCTCTTACTCTAACTGTAGCTACAACTAAATAATGATCCTATATATCAGTTGCCCCTCTATAAACGTGTACATCCTGGAGCCTACCCATCAACCTTTTATCCACCAATACATAATCAAACAAACTACTTTCATTATGTGCTATATCATACCTTGTATATTTATTTATCCTCTTCTTCATAAAATATGTATTACTTATTACCAAACCTCTTTCTACACATAGCTCAATTAAAGGCTCCCCATTTTCGTTTACCCCTGGCACCCCAAATTTACCTGCTACTCCCTCTACAACATTTTTGCCCACTTTAGCATTGAGATCCCCAACCACCATTACTCTCACACTTGGTTCAAAACTCCCCATGCATTCAATAACATTTTCCAAAATCTCTCTCTCTCCTCTACACTTCTCTCTTCTCCAGGTGCATATACACTTACTATAACCCTCTTTTCACATCCAACCTTTATTTTACTCCACATAATCCGTGAATTAATACATTTATACTCCCTCTTTTCATGCCATAGCTTATCCTTCAACATTATTGCTACTCCTTCTTTAGCTCTAACTCTATTTGAAACCCCTGACCTAATCCCATTTATTCCTCTCCACTGAAACTCTCCGACCCTCGTCATCTTTGTTTCACTTAAAGCCAGGACATCCAGCTTCTTCTCATTCATAACATCCACAATCATCTCTTTCTTATCATTTGCACAACATCCACGCACATTCAGACTTCCCACTTTGACAATTTTCTTATTATTATTTTTAGTAATTATTACAGGAAAAGGGGTTACTAGCCCATTGTTCCTGGCATTTTAGTTGACTTTTACAACACGCATGGCTTACAGAGAAAAGATTTTTATTCCACTTCCCCATGGATAAAACTCACACACATATTGTACAAAAGAACACAAGAAGTGAAACTGATTAAACAAAATTACCTGAAAACCAACTAAAATTAAATTAAGCACAGTTATTTCCTGTACTCACCAGTTCCTTTTAGCATTTCAGCTAAATACTTGGTGAACAAAATGTTGCAGGCTTTTGATTGGCTGTAGGCATGAAATGGTGAATATTTACTCTTTTCATAAGTCAGGTTCTGTAAGAAAAATAAGATTTTCAAGCAGGGCCATGGACTCAGAGTCGGAAGCAATTCTTGGGTTACTGGAGTCAGAGTTAGATTTGGTAAAAATGTACCAACTCCGACTCCTAATAAATTATTTTTTTTTTTAACACCGGCCATTTCCCACTGAGAAAACCCAAAAAGAAAGAAAAAAACTTTCATCTTCATTCAATACTTTCACCATCACTCACACATAATCCCTGTCTTTGCAGAAATGTTCAGATATGACAGTTTAGAAGTCCCTCCACACTGCCAATATCCCAAATCCCTCTTTAAAGTGCAGGCATTGTACTATTTCCAGGACTCAAGTCCGGCTAACCGGTTTCCCTGAATCCCTTCACAAAATATTACCCTGCTCACACTCCAACAGCTCATCACGTCACAAAAACAATCTGTCTCCATTCACTCCTAACACACTCACACACGCTGGATGGAAGTCCAAGCCCCTCACCCACAAAACCTCCTTTACCCCCTCCCTCCAACTTTTTTGGGGATGACCCCTACCCTGCCTTCCTTCCTCTACAGATTTATACACTCAACAAGTCATTCTACTTTGTTCCATTCTCTCTAAATAACCAAACCACCTCAACAGCCCCTCTTCATCCCTCTGACTAATATTTTTAGTAATTCCATACCTCTTCCTAATTTCCACACTATGAATTATCTTCATAATATTTACACCACAAAGTACCCTTACACAGGACATCTCCACTGCCTTCAGCCACCTCCTCGCTGCACCATTTACAACCCATGCTTCATGCCCACATGAGAGTGTTGGTACCAGTATACTCTATACATTTCCTTCTTTGCCTCCATGGATAACGTTTTTTCTCTCCACAGATACCTCAACACACCACTCACCATTTTTCCTTCATCAATTCTATGGTTAACCTCCAACAGCATGTCAACTCATAAAAACCATCCACACCTCTCAAATACACTCATGCACGCTTACAGGAAGTCCAAGCTCCTCGCACACAAAAACCTCCTTTACTCCCTCCCTCCAACCATTCCTAGGCTGACCCCTACCCCACCATCCTTCCACTACAGATTTATACACTCTCCAAGTCATTCTATTTTGTTCCATCTTTTCTAAAAGTCCGAACCACCTCAATAACCCCTCCTCAACCCTCTGGATAATACTTTTAGCAACCCTGCACCTCCTCCTAATTTCCAAAGATTCTTATCATGCAGAACTAAGTGTTGATGACTTGATTAAGCTTAGAACACTGACATGGTCTTGGAATAAATCTACTGCATAAAGTAAGGTAAACATATATTGGAAGGCTGGATATTAATTTATAGTTAATGAAAGCAGTAGTGTGATAGTAAACTTCAGTTTCCTCAAGGATACACTCACCAGTTAGATTACCAGGTGCTTCATTTTCAGTAAAAGGCAAAAGTAGGGTTTATTTACCTTTATGTCTAGTGTTTTGAGATTGGCATGGGCCATTGATGAAGTCACCACCACTCGACTAGGACTACTTTCCTTCAACAAACCTGATAAACATATGAAAAGATGTGTTTTTCTTTAGAATTTCAAGTTGCAACCTGAAATTGAGGAAACAAGATATTGGACTTTTGATGAAAAACTATATAAATGATGAAAGAAGGCTCCTAAACTGCTTGATCAATAACAAATATCACAATAAAGCAAAGAAACACTAAGCTTGGAATTACAGATATAGAACAGAAACCAAAGCATTCATATCAAATCACAGAAGCACAATAGGAATAAAAAGCAATTCAAGAAATTGGAAGTAATCCAAAATATGTTTACACAAATTAAAAAATCAAAACCGAATATTTGCTTCTACTCAAAGGAGATTCATACACATATGACTTCTTTTTTTCATGCTTTTTTTATTTATAAAAATTGGATATATCTATAGGATAGCAAAGACAACAGAAAAATTAAGTAGATCCTGAAAGAACAGTGTTCACTGATCTTATCAATGCCATGACAGTTGGCTCACCCTGCAAATTATATAGCAGATATTAACACAAATCCTACAGAATTCAAAAGGAAAATAAACAACTTTATCATGCTTGCAGCGTCTGGGCCCGATTCCTGGAATGCATAATTTATAAAGGAATGCAAGAGCATTCCTTTATGAATTATGGAGAAATGGTTTAGTCACAAACTCCAAGAGGCCTTAAAAGGAGTAAACAGCCTCTCTTCACAAGTGGGGAAGCAAAACAATAGAAAAAACCTATATATTAATAGCACTAACATTAAACATCATAAAACTCTACTGACTTCATGGAGAAACATGAGCAGCACAATGCAAATCAACAAGACCTTAGAGCAGGAAGATCTTGCTTATCACAACTATTAGATCAATACAACAAAATTACAGAAGCCTGGAAGGAAACAAAATGATCATGCAATCTACAAAGATTTTGCAAAAGCATTTGGCAGTTATGACAATGGAGTAACAACTCATTAAATGAGGTCAATAGGTATATCAGGAAAAGTTGGGGAAACAGACATTCAAATTTCTAACAAAAATCATGCAGATTGGTAGCAAATGAAATTAACCCATATAGCATAAAGTTCAGTGATGACAAATTTCAACTGCTTAGGTATAAGAAGAATAAAGGCCTCAAAACAAGCACAGTATAAAGAACACAGGCATACCATATCATAGAAAGTAAGGAACAATTGTGTCAGAGAATCTGTCATTTGGAAAACACAATAAAGCAAATGCAGATACAGACAGAAAAATGACAGAATGGATTATGAGAACTTTCAGACCAAGAGAAGTAATGCCAGTGATGGTAGGTATGCAAGTTTATTTAGGTACAGGTATACAAAAGTACACTCATAATACATAGTTTAGCATATGTGTAAATTACCTAGAATAACCTACAAGTCAGAAAAGGTGACCTATTTCCATTGGGGTACTCTTCAAATCACCTGTATTCTCATGACATAAATATTGTTCTCTGCCCACAGCACCTTCCAAGGCAGGAGAGATAAAGCTGAAAAAAAAAAATGCAAAGGTCATGTACTGGAGTTTACCTGGAGAGAGTTCCGGGGGTCAACGCCCCCGCGGCCCGGTCTGTGACCAGGCCTCCTGGTGGATCAGAGCTTAATCAACCAGGCTGTTACTGCTGGCTGCACACAATCCAATGTACGAGCCACAGCCCGGCTGGTCAGGAACCGATTTTAGGTGCTTGTCCAGTGCCTGCTTGAAGACAGCCAGGGGTCTATTGGTAATCCCCCTTATGTATGCTGGGAGGCAGTTGAACAGTCTTGGGCCCCTGACACTTATTGTATGGTCTCTTAATGTGCCAGTGACAGCCCTGCTTTTCATTGGGGGGATGTTGCATCGTCTGCCAAGTCTTTTGTTGTCGTTGTGAGTGGTTTTCATGTGCAAGTTTGGTACTAATCCCTCTAGGATTTTCCAGGTGTATATAATCATGTATCTCTCCCGCCTGCATTCCAGGGAGTACAGGTTCAGGAACTTCAAGTGCTCCCAGTAATTGAGGTGTTTTATCTCCGTTATGCGTGCCGCGACGGTTCTTTGTATATTTTCTAGGTCAGCAATTTCACCTGCCTTGAAAGGTGCTGTTAGTGTGCAGCAATATTCCAGCCTAGATAAAAAAAGCGACCTGAAGAGTGTCATCATTGGCTTGGCATCCCTAGTTTTGAAGGTTCTCATTACCCATCCTGTCATTTTTCTAGCAGATGCGATTGATACAATGTTATGGTCCTTGAAGGTGAGATCCTCCGACATGATCACTCCCAGGTTTTTGATGTTGGTTTTTCGCTCTATTTTGTGGCCGGAATTTATTTTGTACTCTGATGAAGTTTTAATTTCCTCATGTTTACCATATCGGAGTAATTGAAATTTCTCATCGTTGAACTTCATATAGTTTTCTGCAGCCCAATGAAAGATTTGGTTGATGTCCGCTTGGAGCCTTGCAGTGTCTGCAATGGAAGACACTGTCATGCAGATTTGGGTGTCATCTGCAAAGGAAGACACGGTGCTGTGGCTGACATCCTTGTCTATGTCAGATATGAGGATGAGAAACAAGATGGGAGCGAGTACTGTGCCTTGTGGAACAGAGCTTTTCACTGTAGCCGCCTCAGACTTTACTCTGTTGACTACTACTCTTTGTGTTCTGTTTATGAGGAAATTATAGATCCATCTACCAACTTTTCCTGTTATTCCTTTAGCACGCATTTTGTGCGCTATTACGCCATGGTCACACTTGTCGAAGGCTTTTGCAAAGTCTGTATATATTACATCTGCATTCTTTTTGTCTTCTAGTGCATCTAGGACCTTGTCGTAGTGATCCAGTAGTTGGGACAGACAGCAGTGACCTGCTCTAAACCCATGTTGCCCTGGGTTGTGTAATTGATGGGTATCTAGATGGGTGGCGATCTTGCTTCTTAGGACCCTTTCAAAGATTTTTATGATATGGGATGTTAGTGCTATCGGTCTGTAGTTCTTTGCTGTTGCTTTACTGCCCCCTTTGTGGACATGGGGTTATGTCTGTTGTTTTTAGTAACTGTGGGATGACCCCCCGTGTCCATGCTCCCTCTCCACAGGATGGTAAAAGCTTGTGATAGGGGCTTCTTGCATTTCTTGATGAACACGGAGTTCCATGAGTCTGGCCCTGGGGCAGAGTGCATGGGCATGTCATTTATCGCCTGTTTGAAGTCATTTGGCATCAGGATAACATAAGATAGGCTTGTGTTAACTAAATTCTGTGGCTCTCTCATAAAAAATTCATTTTGATCTTCGACTCTGTCTGGTTAGCGGCTTGCTAAAAACTGAGTCATATTGGGACTTGAGTAGCTCACTCATTTCCTTGCTGTCATCTGTGTAGGACCCATCTTGTTTAAGTAGGGGCCCAATACTGGATGCTGTTCTCGACTTTGATTTGGCATAAGAAAAGAAATACTTTGGGTTTCTCTCGATTTCATTTATGGCTTTTAGTTATTCCCATAATTCCTGACTCCTATAAGATTCTGCCTACTTAAAAATAATAAAACGTGAATTACTGGAAATGCCTCAAAGTACTTAGATGAGGAAGAGAGGTTCCTGCTAATAAATACATGGAGGATTCATGAGGTGTAGGTCCTTGATTAACACTGCAATAACATCTTACTGATGTGATATATGGGAGAAAGTGTGGAACAAGACCCTTGTAGAGTAGTGGGGAGGGAGGCCTGGGTACAATTAGAGAACACTGTGTCAATATCCATGACCCAAGACTCTTTTAATATATTACCAGCAGATATGAGAAACTTCCAGAAAAAAAGAGAGAAGTTTTCAACATGAATAGCCTCCAACTGGAGGTACTAGCATCCACAACCTGGCTGCTCTATGTGAACTAGAAGGACACTAGCACAAACAACCTGGTTGACTAGGAAGTTGGAAGGGAAGCATGTTCTAAATTTGGGTTAAGGGGAAACAGCCCTCAAAACTGGTCACAGGTGAAGTACAAGAGAGGTATCCCCATTTTCTATAATCCAAGGCCCCCCATTCATTGTAAAATTCCCTAAACAATACCACTAATTGTTTTTACATTCTGAAAATTGGCACCTACAGCCCAAAACTAATTTAAATCTTCCTCTAAGTACATTACACCAGCGCTAAAAGTTTGTGAAGTTGATTAGAAGAGGTATTCTTCAGTTATCAAATGCAAATCAATATCCAATTTCTTCAATTTAATTGGAAATTGACACCTACAAAGCCCAATAAGAATCCAGGTTTTCTTGGAAGTTACAAAAGCATAAAAAATGTGGAGCCAACCAGAAAAGGCATTTTCATATTATTGTACAGAAACACAAAATAAAAACTATGAAAAAAAATGATAACCACTTTAGGTATCCTATTTTTGGATACCTAGGCACTCTTTTAACCCTTTCAGGGTCCATGCCGTAGATCTACGGCTTTACGTTGAGGGTCCAAACCGTAGATCTACGCCATGAGCTCAGCTCACTTTGATAAGCTGTGAGCGGTAAATTTGGGCCTAGATATGAGAGAATACATCTATCTGGTATATGTGCACCACATAAAACAAATCCTGCAGCACACATTACATAATGAGAGAAAACCGAGACCATAATTTTCGATTAAAACAGCGACTTTGCAGTGTTTTTTCGTATGTTTTTTTATAGTTGTATTTGCAATTTCTTGGTCTCATTTGATAGAATGGAAGATATATTACAGAAATAGAGATGATTTTGATTGGTTTTAGTACTGAAAATGGCTTGAAACAGAGCTCAAAGTAGCCGAAATGTTCAATTTCAAGAGTAAACAAATGACCTCACACGTCTAATACACGCCAGCTGGTTAATCTAATATACATTCACAAATATGGTGATATTATTTATTCAATTATTATAATATTTCATAACAGTAAATCTTCTATTTTTTTGGTTTGAATAAAAATTCATTATGTGAATAAAAAATCAAAATGGAATTCATTTGTAAAGCCTGAAAACATAACTAACGAACAGAGGAAATGTTACTTTAGTGCAGGAAGGCCTGTATTGTTTATTCTGGACCCTATTTTGAAATTAGAATATTCTGAACTTTGCATTAAATTGGCCAAATTACCAATTTCCAATCACTTTATTTTGTAGTTGAAACAGTTGACATGGAGATTTCGTGTGTTCAATCAATAGAATAGAAGCAATACTAGTAAAATAGCTAAGAATTTGGTCGACTGGAATAATGTAATTGGCCTAAAATGGGAGTCAAAGTCGGCAAAATCGCCGATGCGTAAACATTGCTGACATGTCAAAATTCACGAGAGCATAATTTTGTCAATTTTCCATCAAATTTCGTACTTTTTGTTTTATTACCTTCAGAAAAATATTCTCTACCATTTCGTAAGAAAAACTAACAAAATTATTTTTTGAAAATTCTTGGACCTTGGTGCACACTTTGAAATTTGGCCTCCGGACCCTGAAAGGGTTAATACGTACTAGCACATTCCAATCTCCTATAGGGCATATATATTTTCCTTCACAGGAGTATAGGCAAACTAGGGCATTACTGCTTTCTTCTATTTTACTTTCAACTCATACTGTTCTAAGATGTAAAAACCTGTATCTTGTTCATAATTTCATACTTTTGGCTAATAACATACCATTCAATACTGGATCAGTAATTCTTATGCTCAGCATTTGTATTCCTCTAAATGCAGCCATACATTCTCTATCCAAACTTTTCCACTAATTTTTCTACTCTATTCTTTTTTTTTCCCTCACTCTCCTTTTTCCAGAGAAGTGCATATCACTAATGCTTCACATACCTTTATTTTCTATCCTAAAACTATTAACCCTTTGACTGTCGTAACCCCAAATCCTGAGGTGTCTCCTGGTGTCGCAAAATATTTGAAAAAAAAAAAAAAAATTCTTATGAAATGATAGAAAATCTTTTCCCAATGGTAATGACATCAAAAGTATGAAATTTGATGGAAAACTTACGTGATTATGCTCTCGCGAAGTTAGCGACCTCGGCAATATTTATGAATTGGTGATTTTGCCCACTTTGAGCCCTATTTTCGGCTAAATCCGTCGTTCGACCAAGCTCATAGCTATTTCTTTAGAACTCCATTTGTTGTATCAATTGAGTACAAGAAACTGCCCATTTACCAATAAAGTGGTCAGAAATTGGCAATTTGGCCAATTTCACACAAATTAAAAAATATGCCAATTTCAAAATAGGGTCCAGAATGAACAATGCAGACATTCCTGGTTCTAAAATAACATTTTCTTTGTTCATCAATCACGTCTCCAGGCCCTTCTGATATTACTCTTGCTTTCTATTTTGAATTTTAATTCAAACAAAAAATAGAAGATTTACTGTTATGCAGACTACTGCAATATTGTAACAATTGCATATGTATAATGTCAACCCATTCATGACTGCATATCAGTATGGCTAGTTGGACATTTATTGGACAATGACATCAATTGTTTTCTCTTGAACATCGGCAAAAATCAAACATTTCCCCTACTTTGAGCTCCATTTCAAGGTCCTTTTCATAGTAAAACCAATCAAAATCACTCTATTTCTATATGTTTTCCATTCTATCAAATGTGACTACAAAAACAAGAATATAACAAAAAAAAATAAAAAACGAAAATACACCTCAAAGTCGATGTTTTAATCCAAAAACATGGTCGAAGTTTTTTTATTCTCATTATGCACTGCGTGCTGCAGGATTTTTTTATACAGTGCACACTTACCACACAGACCCATTCTCTCACATGTGGGCCTACCAGCTTTCTCCTGCTTGATTTGAAGCTGCTAGAATTTTTGAGTATACAGTGGACCCCCGTTTAACGATATTTTTTCATTCCAGAAGTATGTTCAGGTGCCAGTACTGACCGAATTTGTTCCCATAAGGAATATTGTGAAGTAGATTAGTCCATTTCAGACCCCCAAACATACACGTACAAACGCACTTACATAAATACACTTACATAATTGGTCGCATTGGGAGGTGATCGTTAAGCGGGGGTCCACTGTATATACTTCAAACACATTGGCTCGTAAGACGTATATATATGACCGAAACAGTCAAAGGGTTAATAAGTATCTGGCCTGGCACCACCCTGCAAGAATTGGCAGGTAATGCTTGCACAAATATGCTCTGCATAACCATGGGCATTCTGCATGCACAATTAAAGCATCGCCCATTTCTGTATAAACATTGTACAATGTGGAAACAAATAATTGATTGACTAAATGAGTAAAACATCTTTCCACTGATTTTCCCATTCATCAGAGAGCAGATGGATTTAACCTTCTACCTCTCCTTCAATGCCCTGACATACTTACTCTCAAAATATTCCACTTTCAATTCTGACTGCATAATAAGCGGCTTCCTGCATGCACACCTAAATGTCACCCATCTCTGTACAAACATTGTATCTTGCTGAAATAAAGAATCTTTAATCTTTAATCCTGACTTTTTACCAGCCACTGATTTATTGCTTGAACTATACCTCCCTACATTTGCCCTTGAGCTTATCCTTGACCCTTCTGCTTGTTTTTTTTACCCCTAATGTCGCCCTCCCATTTTCCATGCAGTGTTCAATGACCTAAGGAAGTTTACTTCCCTCTGTAAAAATATTTTTTTTTATTAACACATCGGCCATTTCCCACAGACGCAGAGTGATATGAAAAAGAAGAAACACCTTCATCATCATTCACTCCATCACTGTCTTGCCAGAGGCATGCCTAGAGTTAAAAAAAAAAAACTGCAACATATCAACACCCCTTCTTCAAAGTGCAGGCACTGTACTTCCCATCTCCAGGATTCAAGTCTGGCTAACTGGTTTCCCTGAATCCCTTCATAAATGTTACATTGCTCACACTCCAGCAGAATGTAGTCACACATAATAATAATAATAATAATAATAATAATAATAATAATAATAATAATAATAATAATAATAATAATAATAATAATAATAATAATTCTCCATGGGGAAGTGGAACAGAATTCTTCCTCCATAAGCCATGCGTGTTGTAAGAGGCGACTAAAATGCCGGGAGCAAGGGGCTAGTAACCCCTTCTCCTGTATATATTACTAAATTTAAAAGGCAAAACTTTCGTTTTTCCTTTTGGGCCACCCCGCCTCAGTGGGATACGGCTGATGCATTGAAAGAAAGAAAGAATAATAATAATGTTTAGTAAACTACTGCACTTCTTACTGCCTGAGGTTTACCAATATGCTGATTATTTGAGAGAAAGTATAGCCTTAATCTTATGGCTGAGGTTGACTTATGACCAGTAATATGTGGTATTTAAGTTTGTTGGACATGAGTTCTGGCTCTTACTCCAGTTTCATAATGTTCAGCTGACTGATATATCTGACTCTTATCACATATATTTTTGAACCTAAGTATGAAGTTTGCTGCCACTATGTTCCACTTTCCTATTACTCTTACACTGAAATAAAACTTCCCTAGCCTTGCATTATACATACAATACAACACAGTACACACTGTGTGAGTATAGCATATTAATGTTAGTTGAATAGCAGGAAAAATAACATTTAGAAGGCGTCAAAATTAGTGTCATAACTGCTTGA